TAACTCCAGTTAAAAAACTTACAGAAATGTAAAAATAGTCTACTTGAAAAAATTTTGCTTTTGATGCAACTGTTCCGTTGTTTTAAAGTTAGAATTGAACGGATGACATCAATCGAGTTGGATATCATATTAGGTCAGATGTCAAACATACCATACACAGATCGTGTGTTTCGTCAGGTACTTGTCCAGTGATCTCCAGGGGGTTGGTCTAAAATTTACAAAAATATTTGGTTTAATTACATTTCTCTAGTTAAAAAAAAAAATAAATAACTACTTTTTTCCACTAAGTTACACGGAATAACTTTAGTTGAAACGTTTATAACTATTTAACATTAATTATTACATGAAAAAAGTATTACACATACTCTTTTATTTAAAATGAAAGCGGTAATTCCAGTCAATGTAGTCCATTTACACTTAAACTGAATATTTTGATTGAAGGACGCCCATTTTTCGGTTACCGCGTGTCTGTGATGCAGTATATATCCATAGATTAAATAATATGTTCATAATACAGAAATACATGAATGTGAATTAAGGTAATTATGCCAACATACCCTGTAATGTGCAATCATATACATTATTAAATATGACTATATATGTTTTTGAATACAATATAACGCCAGACTTGAAGTATCAAAGTGCTGTAAAATTTGTATATAATCAAACTATTTGAAAGTTTAACACTAAGTAACATTAAGCTTTAAATTATGTACCCTTTGTAGGTCCCTCAATATAACTCGTACCGGTTGTAACAATAACGAAATAGGTTACCATAAAACAACGCGCGGAGACCCGAAATGAATGAACTAGTGAATTTACGGCATCAAAGCTTCCTTATTACTTACAATTCTATTCTGTTGTTGCTTATTGAATTTTCATTCTTCTTGACAAGAACACCGATACGTATTGGAAATAGAGCTACATATATTTTGGCCAGAAAAGGGACAAGGTGAATATCTAATACTTGACGACATGTAAAGGAGGTTGATGCTTTTCCACAATATAAACCATGCAGGATATTTTATGTAGCATAGCCAGATTAAAACGATCAAATTTCAATATTTTTAGTTTGTTCAATTTAGTTTGTGTATATAGCAATCATTATGTTGATTAAAATACGTTTAGCCAACCGCACTACTACTACATTGTAATTCTGTATATGTTTCACTTTTCCAAAAAAAAACCATTTTTTTCTCTTAGGTTGATACGATCCCATCTCTTAGGTTGATATGACATTTTATCGGAACTGAAACCCTGATACTAAAATCATGCCCTACTACATCAAAAGCCCCAACCAAATAGCAAAAGAAAATCCTTTCAATGATCGTGCTAGCGCAGGTAACCTTCTAGTTTTTATAATACAAAAAGGGATAACAGGATAAAACTACCAACAGTACAACAGACCAACAACACTCGACTCCTCCGACAAAACAGAAATAATAAGACAATCAACAACGTGCTACAAGTGGTACAGATTGCTTGATTTTGTACAGACGCAAAAGTGGTGAGTTAAACAAACTGATCAAAGATACCAGGCTTATTTGGTATGCCAGAAATCTTATACATCAGACTCATCAGTTGCACTTGAATAAAAAAAAAACAGATCGAAGGCCAAATCAAATACGAAGATGAAGAGCACTGAAAACCAAAAATCCAGAAAGATGTGTCAAATACGGATAAGGCTATTTATGGCTGAGGGTAGAAACACCATAGTGTTACGAGAAATAAAAAAAAATATAAGCGGAATTTTTTTTTCAAAACATGAGCGTATCATTCATTTTTTATATCAACACAGAAGTGAGGACTTATGGGCTGGTGATACCCTCTGGGAATTAAATAAAACCCGTTGTACCCCTTTGCTTTAATAGACCATATGTTGTAAAACTATAGCCACTATATAGGCTAGAATAAGCTAAGACATTACTAATATCATTTACAGATATGTGGTACATGGATATCACTTGTTACAACATCTCTTTTTGTAAGGTCTTGTATTATATCTATTCTGCCCAAAACTCTGTGCAAAACGACAATTTTGTACAGAAATAATTTCAACGTCGATTCTATACAGGTTGTATCACGCCATTAATTTACTAATAAAATTAATGTAATCCTAAAAAAATGAAAACAACACTTTCTAAACTTGATGGTTCCGGAACGCTTTTCTTTATTTACCTTCATCTAGAACGCTCAAAGGTAAATATTTAAAGCAAAAGGATGTATAAGAACCGAAACATTTGAAGAGCTATATGACCGAAAAGAATCTAAAAATAATAGCCAAATCCTTCTTAGGTCAACTTTGCCCGAGTTAGTTGAAATCTTAGTTTCTTAATGACTTGAAAATGTATAAACGGACAATTTAAAAAAGTCTGGAGAATATTGCTAGTTTCTGCAATCTCAAGGGCTAAATAATGGCTTTAATAGTACATACTACTTTGTAAATATTATGTAAGATGTGATATATTTAACAATCGTCATTTTCGACCGAGAGTCCCTATGGAAAACAGTATTCTTTCAATCTGGTGGCTAAACAATCACTGTTGTCTCTATAAGAGGCAATAATAATATTTATTATCAGCTATTCTTTATGGACTTTGAAGGACTTATATTTTTGTATTTCCATTACTTCCATCCGGTGAGTGTGTAAAATGCGACGCTTTTAAGGCAATGTTCTGAACAATACCCCTTTGTCCGAAATTGTGACATATTTCCAGCACGAATCCTTTCTAGGAGTCAACGTAGATCGACTCACTTGATATGTGCACTTCTGTCATCAATTATCGTTAAATCTACTTGACGTTCATAAGAGTATCTGAATTTGTGAAAACCACCCTTTCAAAAAACTACAGGACGCCAATTATTCTCCGTTCATACATTTTGAAATTATTTAAAAAATTATTTACTTTCTAAGGATCAAACTACCTCAGGCAAAGTTGATCCTATATCGACTTGGCTTTTCCTTTGTAGGTCTCTTTTGGACATATATTATTCCTGACATGTTTGAGTATTTGTTATCCCTAGTTTCCACATTTTTGGTTACAGCATTCCTGATTAAGGTAAATAAGGACAAGAGCGTCAGATGCATGTGTTATATATATTCATTATCAATGTTTCCACAGAAGTGACAGTGCATCAATTGATACAAATACTAATATCGTAATTTTTAAGGGTAAGGCAAGGTTTTACTATCAGATATATAGTGGCCTATAATTGATTACTACCTCTTCATTTTAACTCTGGTGAATAGTTGTCTCATTGGCAATCATACCACATCTCCTCATCTTTATATATATCTATATATATATATATATTACGCATTCATGTTGACTTAGCAAATCAAACAGTTATTATTAAACATTTTAATATTCCGTCTTAAATACATCGAAGACTTTAGTGCTTAGTTTCAAGGGTACGACACAAAAAGGAAAAAAAAAATGGCAAGACGGTATATGATGCCTTATCGTTTATTGGATATTTCAAGGCTGTCTGTTAAAGATTTCCATCATCGAACGTTGACATTATTCACTTCTTTAGTGTTTGTTTTTTTTCAATAATTACATTTATTTTTCTACCAAGAAATGGTCGACGATCATCTGCATGACATTATTTGTTGCTTAAATACTGTTTTGCAGCATAATGTCTTTCCAGTAATTCTGCTAGTTTTTGACAGCATGTCTTCTACCACATGCGCTCTGGTATTGATCTCCGTAACGAATATTTACATACTTTATATTCTAATTTGTCAATATTTCAAATTAATTTTACTGCATAAATCTTTTCATGAATGCTATATTTGTTTCTTGATTAAAACACTTTTTTATATATCTACATTGATATTCACATCTTTCAAATCGTGGTCAACACATTATAATGAAAATCACTTGATTCATCTTTGTTTGGAAAATCCTGGGGCAAAACATTTTTATATTTTCATTTTTAATACAAATTGAAAAACATCATACAAATTAAGTGTGTGGTATAACAAGTACTAGATAACAACAGAAGTGTGATTTTAACGATGGAAAAGTGTATTTGCATTATTGATTGATCGGTTGTTTGATGAGTATTTAATGTCACGTCAGATCATATTTGCTATATCACGGCGAAAGTTCAAATTTGAAACATTTGGAAACAATTAAGAATACGATGTAAGCAGTTCATTTGTAAGTTTCGGAGTTTTAAGTGTGGCGTCTATTTCGCTGAACTAGTTTATATTTTGTATAGAGGCCAGCTGAAGCCCACCTCCAGGTACGGGATTTTCTCGCTGCGTTGAAAACGTATCGGTAGCCTTGGACTGTTTGTTGCTCTTTGGTTGGGTTGTTGTCTCTTTGACACATTCCTCGTTTCCATTCTCTATTTTAAGGTATATCACTATTGATCTTAAATAAATATTGTTCTAAAACCAAAACGGTAAGATACAAAATATATTTGGTCATCAGCTTTACATTGGTGAGTCCTAATGTGCTAGCGCTTTTTAGATGTCTGGGACAACTACTTCCTGTGTGCTGATACTTTGACTTACGATTGGGGGTTTTGCATGCACGACTGGGCTTGTATAATTGTTATAGGTTGTAACAAACAGTACCAATTATCTCATTACATATGTAACATAGTATTTCTCTTGTATTGAAAGATGACAGGAAAGGAATACAGGTGTGTGTCTTTACTGATGTTATATTGTCTGTTATTACGTTCGAATTGATACTTTACCATTGTATCTAAAATAATGGTAATGCATTCTCATTGACATCATTGTAAACAATATAATTACTATATAGTATATATTTTGTGGAATATGTCTAGATTTTTGTGAATTTTTGAAAATTGATGCAGATATGATTTACTTATCGTTTCAATAATATATATACTAGTAAATAATCTGATCCCGATGATAAAGTAATTGTTTTATTTTTTAGTATGTCTTTTCCTTACACAATGATATCATACTTGAATTACTAAAGAAATCATCCATTTGCTGTGAGAAAAACAAAAGCCAATTAAATATAATAATGTAATAAAATTTGTGTATAAAAAGACAATTCTACATTAGCCTCTGTTAAAAATGTTGTAAATAAAATATATATGAATAAATTTCTGACATCAACTTTTCACATACACAACGACTGAGTTGGATAATTCTTAACATGATAATACACTTGTATCACTATTATATAAGTTTTAGTTAAATCCATCACACGTACTTTACGTAATCACATGAAACATTAAACAACATCTTACATTTTTATATCTTCAGTTTATTTTGAGTAGCTGTGACATGGATCTTTGAACTTGAATTTGATTCTTTCCCTTCCCTATATCTTTCAACTACAAAGGTTTATTTAAAACCAAACAAGGAGTTATCACCCGGAAACAGTTTTAGCCCCAAAATCTACGTTTTGTAAATCTACCTTGAATTTTGACCTTTTGAGCCAACATTTAAAACACTTTTACCCCTTATCGATGTTCTTTATTCGCTTAATTTTTGTTTTAATTAAGAACTGGAAACTAAAGATTTTATCTGGAAAGCATGTTTGTCGTCCCATGGACGAACAGACTGACGGTCAGAGTAATGACTTTATGCCCCGAAAAGAAATGAACATAACAATAGAAATTAAACAGAGATGAATCAAAACAGATGGACGGTTGAGGTTTATATTATGTGTCCTTTTTTATCAGGGCTTTAAATCATGCAATTGAATTGCTTGATAAAATATCAATTTTGAAGAAAAATTCTTTTGACTATAATACGATATAGGAGTTATAAAACTTTAACGTATATTCACACTTCTTTCAAATATATGATGCCACATTAAAATACACATCTGATTGACTAAAATATCAAGTTTAAAACGAGATTCGCCATTTAAATTAAGCCTTCATATTAAATAAAACAGACAATTTCTAAATGTGTCACTAAAACATGCATTACAAAGATATTCTGAGTATTTATATGCTATTTATCTGCTTATTCTATATTCATCATGCAAATATAAAATACTTTACAGAAAATTTCAATGTAGTATCAAAGTACAAAAATTCAAAATATTATTCTGGAATTTTTAAAAACAAATAACTCCTAATGAATAATTTTTAAATAATAATACTAATAGCGTAGAACTTTTCTGTCAGAGAAACCTTTACAATGTATAAAAGCTATAAAACCGATGCTATTGCGATTTACAAATGCATTACTATACACGTAACAAAATACTGTATTACTTGATTACGTGATAAAAGTCATTATTATGCCATTTAGATTGTGTAAAAATAAAAATAAAAGCACACACTTGCAAGAAATTATCATCATACAATGTATAAAATCCAAACAATATTGAAAGAAAGAAGTATTGCAAAAACATAATGTAAACCGATAACTGAATTTGCAAAACATGCATCTTTTTTTTTTTAGATTGAAACAACAACACAACAAGCGAAATATCCACATTATAAGGAATAAAGCAAAAGTACAGTATTGTTTTTGATATATTAATATTGATAAAATTTATCATAAACTATCTTATTCAAGGTTGTTAATTGATATTTTGATGTGAATTGCTACTCTTTGCAATACTTTATTTTAACACAGCACATTACATGATAATTTGAAATTGCCAAAATGAATAAATGAAAGATTTGCTTCTCAAAATTTTGCACAGTATTTACAAACCTAATGATGAAGTCATTGGACTGTTCACGAGAATGGGTGATTATCTTATACTGTCTTAGATACCAGACAGTCGTCTGATATGTGTGATATTTCACAGAGTAACATATTGATTCAGACTGGATTTTCATAAAAGGGGTTCAAGAATAGAAACAGGAGACGCTTATACCTTGTACATACATCTGGTCTCCCGTCTATCGGTTCATGTGATTCCCATGATTGTTTTCACTAGATTTGTATATTAACGAGATTTCACATTGATAGACTACTGTTGGATACTATCTTTTAGTTGAGTTCAACCACACAAATTACAGATAAATTGTTCTCGATATAAAACAGAATTAGGGAAATGATAAGATAGAAAATATAAACTTAACATACAAATCTTGGGACGATAATGAAAAAAAATCAATAATTGAAGGGGAGACCATCATGGTTAAAACCAAAAAAGAGTCAACAAACAGTACACGTGACTACAAAATTTAGCACAAAAACCCCGCTAAGACCAGTGGTCAGCTGAGGTATTGAGGAATGGTAAGCAGTTCCTTTTCCCAATTGGCACACGTCATGTTGTTCATATGATATATAAATCCGTTGATAAATCATGAACATGATGAACGACGAAAGGAGCAAGAAATTCTGAATACGGCCATTTGGACATATATCCGTGGCCATACTTTCTACATTTACAACTGCCGAAATCATTGCCATCTGATGATCCGTTGTTTTCCCTTCTTTTACTTAATCAATGAAGTATCATAAAAAACTACATTTAATAGGTTTCTTAAATGTAAAAAACATAAACAAAATTTTTCATCGAATAAATCTATCAGCATGTAAAACATTAGACTTTGTAAGCTTAACACGATTAATTTACTTTAACGAAACTTTGAACAAGTAAAGAATTTTCATTGACCTTAATCCAATGAAAAAAAAAAATTGTCGAAAATATTCTTCAATAAGCAAACTGGTGGGATATTAGGTTTTTTTTACAAAATATAAGCATGACCTTATTATATGTCGCCTTTAGGTCTTCATAAGCTGTTTCACTTCCTACATAATTTTTTTTTATCAACTACCGTCATTATCTACAGCCTTTTCTTTCAACCTTTTTTCCAATTTGAATACATTCTCTTTCGTGCTTTTCAATTGGTCAATCCTGGAAAAATATCATAAAAACCTTTTAAAAACAATGATATAAATATTAAAGTGAATAATAAAACTTGTTAAAACGTTTAAACTCGCTGCATTTGTTCGTACCTGTCCTTGTCAGGAACCTGTTGTTCAGTGGTTGTCGTTTGTTGATGTGGTTTTTAAGTTTTCTCGTTTCTCGTTTTTTATAAAGATTAGACCGTTGGTTTTCCTGTTTGAATTGTTTTACACTAGTCATTTTGGGGCCTTTTATAGCTTGCTGTTCGGTGTGAGCCAAGGTTCCGTGTTGAAGACCGAACTTTGACCTATAATTGTTTACTTTTTACACATTGTGACTTGGATGGAGAGTTGTCTCATTGGCACTCATACCACATCTTCTTATTTCTATCATAAAGATGTAAACAATGTAAAATTGAGTTATTTTTGTATGAATATCTCTTGCAATCATAAGTTCCGGTGATGATCCTCATTTTCTGAACTGTTAATGCTGTGATTATCTTATCCTGCCGGTACATAAAGTGTTTTCAGATTTTATGGCACCAGACAATTCCTTTTAACAATAACGTGAAAGTTTACCTATGTAGTGATGAAGTAAGAACTTGTATTCTAACATCATTTATAGATAAAAAAGATATCATTGAATAATTAAATTTACTAGTATATAGTTCTTGTCATAGTCGGTAATCCTCTGTGAAGTGAAGTAGCCAGTCACTACATGTTCTGAATCCATTGTTACATCTATTATGCCAATGTACATTGTATATAAACAAAATACTTTATATTCACGTACTAAGCACACATGAAGGACGTTACTAAATTCAAAGCTGCATTTTGTTTTAAGTACCGCATAGTTGTGATGAGTAACAGACTTACAAAAGCTTAATAAATTAAGAAAGGGGATAGGTGGTCTGTATAATAATAAACTCGACTCCACAATATCACACTATAATAATTAATAGTTTTAAAATATCTCATAAACTATTATAATCACTAAGTTTTCTGGATTAGTAACTATTTATGTCAATCTATTACTCTCATTTCCGCAAAGCAAAATAATGTTTAAACCCCATAAAAGGTCAATGTGAAGTTTAGTTTTTTCGGGGAGGAGTCGAGCGTTGATGTGGTCTGATGTATAGTGTGGTATTTTTTGCCCATTCCTGTTTTCCCTTTTTATTTATTTTGTTATGAAATAAACGCTAAGAATATTTTAAAATAGGTAGTTAAGAGGGTAGTGTAGTGCAAAACAGTACCATACGTATATATTACCCATATTTTCAAATATATTTGGATCTCTTCATCTATAAGGTGTTCAAGTGAAAATGTATCATTGTATATCATATTTTAAATCTATTCAAGTTATATAAAGCATCAGCTATGCTGAAAGTTACCCAATAATTATTTTATCGTCATTTACGATCCACAAATCTGTTACGTCCTCATGTACCATCCATCTAAAATTTAAGTATTTGGCATTATAATCGAATACATTATGAGATTAACAGCAGTTCATTTAAGTATTTGAGTAGCCATTGGAAAGTCTGATTTCTGACGCAAACCTCTGCACATACATCCTGCTCGAGTATTTCTCTTTGTAGTTGAGGTCTTTTTTTAAATAATAAGGACGACGACATATTATGATGCCTTATGTTTTTTTAACTGAACATGTTTTCCGTGGTGATGGGAAGTCACGGAGGAAGAAGATGGTAAGTGAATATTTGAGTCTGATATCAGAAAAAACAAATAGATAAAAGAAAACCAGACCAACCAAGCAAACAATTAAGTAAAAGACTTCCAAAGAAAAATTTCTTTTGAATATTAACCAACAACAGGAGAACGATATTGGTCGTCATCAGAAAAGAATAAACATCCAAATAACTCTGTTAAATGATGAAGTATGGCCAATTACAATGTATCCATTTCAATAGCATGTATTTGTCAAAAAATTCTTGAAGTTTGTATATCATTGTACAGTATCACAAATATCTGTGAATAATTTTTAAGACGTTAAGCCACATTTATGACATTTTTTATTATACTTCAATTGTCAGTCAATGATTAAAAGCTACATTATGATTGAAATCAACATAAAGGACGCTTGTAAGCAAATTGAAATTTCATTGATATACAAAAAACACATACAAAGAAGAAAAACAAACGTTGTTGTACTTTGTTTATTTGACTTACTGATATCATTTAAACATTGTTTAACAATAACACACACCATTTTGAATACTAGTATATGATAAAATATTGTCGCAAAAAGCAAAATTTGTTATTCAGTTTATAACACTATTATATTCGATTATTTCAATTGTTCCGTTCCTGATGAAGGGAAATACAGGACAGTACTTCGGATGCACGCACTTTGTAATTGATGACGTTTTATTTTCATTTAGTAGCACCCCAAGGGTATCATCATCTCAATAGTCATGACTTCGGTACTGATATGCTTTATAATATTTTTTCTAAAATTACCTGTTGATAATTTAAAATTTACAAGGAAACTCAGATTTCACCACTCTAAGGCAAAGTTATCCTTAGATGAATTTGGTCATATACCGCCTAACTGTTCTATGTATTTTTAAATCCCCGGCTTTCTAATATTTGGGTTGATCATTCATGCATGATAAAGGTAGTTAAGGAAAGATCTTTGGACACACGAATTCATAAAGTCTTAATTAATTAATTAATTGAATATTAACACTATGAGGGAAACAATTTCCCAGAGAAGTTGTCAGTAAATAGCAAAATTAACATTATATTATCAAACACAGTGTATTTGAACGCTTCTGAAGGATCGATTACATATAGTGAAAGAGAATACTCTCATAAAGTATTATTAATGTAGATAATGATGTTTAACTTACCTGTCATATATAATGCCATCTACACCTAATTCTCTTAACTTGTTGATCACATTTGAATCATTTGTTTCCTCTCCCCAACAAAACAACACTTGTCCTGATTTTTTTACGTCTTTGATAAGTTCAGGGCTATCAAGTATTGTTTTTGAATTTACATTTATGCCCTGCAAATAGAACACCAAAAAAATCGAATCATATGTTAAGCAAAATTTGAACAGAATTTGAAAACATCTATATTCTAGCCTGATAGTGTAATTAAAAAAAAATAATATAAAAAGACGATGAAATAGATGTACATTAGATTGTAATCAAATTCATTACCATTGTTTCATAATAATATCCTGATATATCATTGAACACAATATTGAATTCAATTATATGTACTTTATAGTAATATCGAACCTATTAAGAATGTTGAACATCCCTAAAGTATGGTAGAAAAGATTTTTTGTGGAAATATTAAACGTGTTAAAGTAAAATTAAAGGTTTTGTACCTACATTCTGTTCTTTGTTAATGATGTTAATTGCGATACAGATTTACTTTAATCTTTTATATATTTGTTCGCTTTCGAACCTACCCAATCATCAATCATGTATTGTTCATCTGCTGAGTGTATATTTTTTCCCTCGTGTATCATCGACAGAGTAGTTAATAAAGATACAGTTGTTATTTATTGAATAATGTTTATTAACTATAAATTGACAAAATGTAGAACTTATACAAAAATAAGGATGCAAAAGAGAGGCGAAGGATACCAAAGGGACATTCAAACTCATAAGTCGAAAAATAAACTGACAACGCCATGGCTAAAAAAGAAAAAGACAAACAACAGTACACAAAACAACATAGAAAACAAAAAACTGAGCAACACGAACCCCACCAAAAACAGGGGCGTGATCTCAGGTGCTCCAGAAGGGTAAGTAGATCCTGCTCCACATGTGGCAACCGTCATATTGCTCATGTAAGTAAAAACCCTGTGATATGTCTTATTCGGTAGGTCACATTCAGGGAAAGGGGACGAGATTGTAGTTACGACAATTGGGACATATCCGTAGTCATCTGTGAAACAGATATTCCATAATGGTCAAACAACTCGTGATGGCGTCCGAAAAATTTACGAAGGGATGATTTCAACTTCACCTCTTGGAACTCTTGATTTAATAGCTTCCATGTAAGGAAATCATGATAGGAAATACAAGCTCTGGAATATCGTATCAACTGGGAGATATATACTCCGTATGCAGGCGCTGCGCGAATGTTGCTACATAGAAATGGAAAGTTCACAATTGGGAAGCTGAAATCATCTCTTTTGTCGTAATGCTTTGTTTTCAACCGACCCTCATTGTCAATTTCTAGATGTAAGTCAAGATATGAGGCAGACTTAACTGTATCTGTTGTATCCTTTATCTCAAGTTCGATGGGATAGATGCGTTCATAATAGTCACCAAATTTTGAAATATTTAGTGAGAGAACATCATCTATATAGCGAAAAGTGAAGTTAAAGGATACTGATAACTTCTTTTCTTTCTTCCTAAGAAGTTCCTGTATGTCCCTAAGACAAGAAACTTATATCTATGCAAGTTGGCATAACTCTAAATTGATGTATTTATCATCTATACTTTTGGAACTAATCAGTCCTAATGAATGCAAATCTACAATGCTCACCAAACGCTGCAATTTGATACATGATACTTTGTTTTGAATTAAGAAATTGCGTTGAAATAATATTAAATGTGATTCAGACAAATAATTTGATTCAATATTTACCAATATATTTGCAAAATTGACAAAGTTGACGCCAATTGGAACATTTAAACATCTAGGATCTGCCCTCTCCTCGTCATTCCGTATGCGTCCAACGGTGAGCAGTAACACAGGGTATTTATTCTGTTTTGATCGTAGTCTATGAGAGAAAAAGAAATTTAATACGTTTAATGACTTATTCTGGTTTTACTGACATTGTACTATTATTATTATTTTAATTTCAATAAATACATAAACACACATATATATATAATTTTAATTTCATTTTTATTTTGATTATAAAAAAAAGAAGGTGTGGTATGATTGCTAATGAGACATCTCTCCAACAGGACATATGACTAAGAAACAAGCAACTATGGTACTGTACGGCCTTCAACAATCAGCAAATCCCACACCGCATACCGCATAACAAGATATAAGAAGTCCCAACATGACAAATGCAAAACAATTCAAAGAAGAAAACTAACGGCTTGGTTTATGTACAAAACAATAAACGAAAAACAAATATGATAACCAGCAACAAACGATAACCACAGAATTACAGGCTCCTGACTTGTGACAGGAACACACATAATGTAGCTGGGTTAATCATGTTTGCGGGCGCCCAGCCCTGCTCTTAACCTGGGACGGTGATTTAACATCACAACGTAAGAACAAACTATAAAAACCAGTTGAAAAGGCCTCAGATCGATAAAAAATCCAAAATACAACTGACAGAAACACTAACAACAAACAGAACAGTTACTGAAATGATTGTTTTAATAATAAGCTCTTGTGGGTGGCTTCGACAGGTAATAAAAAGAAAATTTTCGAGGGAAAGCAGAAACCATAAGACTGACAATAAATAAAACATTACAAATAACCAACCATAAAACATCACATGCCTCAATAAAATCTCGAGTAAACATGTGTCGTAAGGTAAGTAGATCCTTGCCCATTAGCAACACCCGTTGTGTTATTGATTATTGAATCAAGTGTTAAATATTATACGACATGATCACATAGCAGATAGTAGATAACACACAACCCTCATATATTACCAAATGCACAATAAACATTGGCATACATAAATTCTTGGGAGCCAAGATATGATCGAATGTGGATATAAAATCTGTCACAAGAAATGTGTTATATAAAACCAAACTTCTGACAGTTTACTAGCTCTCTTCTCGTATTTGGTCTCGATTTTGCTGCCTATATGCGGTTATGCATAATGAAAGGAACTAATTGCCACCCACATGTTAATTCTGTATCAAAATGAATATGTATTTTATTACTTCTTGGAATGTTAATGTAATATTGACCGTACTTACATTAATATTGAACAGTAATGTATTCATGTCTGTTTGTTTTACTCACACATTGTTGTCAATATAATGGAATTTTATGCGACTGTCATACAAGTGAGAGGTTTAGTTAGCTATAAAACCAGGTTTAATACACCATTTTTTACATAAGGAAATGCCTGTACCAAGTCAGGAGTATGACAGTTGTTTTCCATTCGTTTGATGTGTTTGAACTTCTGATTTTGACATCTATCTAAAGGACTTTCCGTTTTGAATTTTCCTTGCAGATCGGTATTTTTGTTATTTTATTTTTTAATACTTTCTATTTTCATAATATGAAACGTTTTTGCCCAAAAACAGTGAATAGACTTAATAAAATGGACATATGCCCTTGGTGTATCTTGTTATCTTATACAAGTATCATACAGAATTGCCTTTTCTGCACTGATGTTTCTGATATTTTTTTCACTCCTTTTATTGCTGTACTGGATCCGAATGTAAGACCTTTATTGATTGAAAATATTCTGATGGAATTTTGTTTTTCTTTCCCCAAAACTGACACATACTTACATTGAACACGTATCAGGATCAAAACTTGAGAAAACAATTCGTCGAGACTTGGCATTTTCAAATAATGATTTCAAAATTGTATCAACATATTTGTTTCTGTCAAAATAACTGGACTCTGCAATACTTCCATTCTGTGAAAAAAGTAAAAACTACAAAATATGTTTTGTTTATAGTTCTTCGGGCAGATACACACTTTTAGTTTCATTTGATACATTTTTGTTTCATCGAAAATATCGTTTGCATCAAAAGAAATACAGTAAAATATTAAATCTCGTTTATAACATATATAATTTGCAAATTCTTATTTAATAAAGGGTTGAACAGATAATTATGTGAAACAGAAAAAAACAAAACAGCTGGGAAAGGAAACTTTGGAAAAACTGCTGCAATTGAATACATCCATCTTGATTTCTTGTAACAGATCATTCTACTACAAATGTACTATCTTTGGATGGCTAGTAACAAATTAATTTAAATAAATAAAATATCTTTCTCCAGTTTTTAAAAATCATTATTTCAGTGAGATAAAATAATATGACTATCTTTATTCTCATGAAAAAAATCTTTATACAGAATGGACGCTGGATTGACATATAATAACACAAACGGTACAACTTTACAGCACACCAGATGCGAATTTCGACAATTAATGTCTCTTCAGTGATGCTAGAGGCCAAACTATTAGTAAGTCTAAAACACAATAAAAACGTTGAAGAGCTGATAAAACCAAAAAGGATCTATAGAATGGTCAAGTTCGGATACGAAATCATAGCTTTGGATGGAAAGATATATATATATTACTGAATTTAAAATGATTTCAAAATTTCAACAGTAAATTTCAATCAAAATAATATCCGTAATTCATGCCAGTACCGATGTACTGGCTACTCGGCTGGTGATACCCTCGTGAACTAACAGTCCACCAGCAGAGGTATCGATCAAGTAATAACATAAACGGTACCAATTTTACAGATGCACATTTCGACAATTAATGTCTCTTCAGTGATACTCCAGGCCAAAATATTTGTAAATCCATTACCTAATACAAGCGTTGAAGAGCTGATCAAAACAAAACGGACCTTATCAGATAAGGAATCGGAGCTTTGCATGAGGGAGATATATTCCTTAATTTTCTTGGGACTCATCACTTTCTGTCATGGTTAGTAACAACCAATATGTTGGCACTGACATGATTTAAAACTAAAATCTATTTCAAAATTCCTCGTTGATTAATTCAGAAACCATAAGAAACTAAAGTTTAAATTCCTTCTTTTAGGTCCATTATGGCCATATAGCCCCTAACGTTTCTTCGTATATATTCATCCCTGGCTATTAAATGTTTAAGTTTAAGAGTTCATGGTGAAGGTTTATTCTGACGTACGAAATTTATAGTGTTATTTTCATTTTATACTACTTGTATCCCTCCCATGCATGAACATAAACAGAGTTTTTTCTTTGTTAAATGATATGCGTTGACATCTTATTCATAGGTCTTTTGTGGATATTGGACTCATTGGCAGTTAAAACACATGTCAATATATCACATTGAAAAATATTCAGAATATAAACAACTGAAATGTCGAAATGCAAGTGCTCCATATAATATTTTACAATTTGTTTCAAAATGTTTGTTTTCAAGTTTCACTTTGGTTTCAACATTTTCTCCTTTTGCCAAATGCATCAAACTTGCACTCAACTGATCAATATTTCATCAATATATTATAGAATGGAGAATAGAAACGGGGAATGTATCAAAGAAACAACAACCCGACCAAAGAGCACAAAACAGCCCAAGGCCACCAATGGGTATTCAACGCAGCGAGAAAATCACGTACCCGGAGGCAGGCTTCAGCTGGTCCCTAAACAATGTATACTAGTTCAGTAATTTACATGGAATAACAATCCGATAACAAGTAAATTATCAAAATTTACATTATACTTTTTTTTGGCATATAACTAGTGTAAATAAGCTCATCAAATATACAAGGGTTATAATTTGGTATCTCAGATAGGAGTTTCGTCTATACAAACCTCATCAGTGGAGCTCGAATAAAAGTAATCAGGAGGCGGATTTAATACGAGTTAAAGATAATTAAAAACTAAATTTCAGGAAACCTGTGTCAAATACGGCTAAGGTGTTATGCATAATTTAAAATCTAATTTATAGACAGTAAATTTACAGATAATGATTGATTGATTGTTATTTGGTTAACACCAAGTGCAAATATTTCATGCATGTTCAGGACAATACAGATAATGAAAAAAATCAATTATCTTTCATCTCAACATAAAAGTGCTGACTACTAGGCTAGTGATACACTCGGGGATGAAACGTTCACCAGCAGTGGCATATACACATTGGTTGTTTATACTCATTAAAGATACTTATTTGGAAAAACTTACCATCCTAAGCATCGGATATTTAACTTCCACATTAAATCCTACATGCTCATCAACATCTTCAAAACATTGTTTCAAGGTTGGAAACGGATGTGTTTCTACTGGATCAACATTGTCTTCATATCTCTCATCTACAATATAATATGAAAATTAAAATCAAAATCAAAGATTTCAATATTTTTGTATTATTGTCCTTAAAGTTTTCACAGAAAATTATGGTACTCATAACTAAATCATTTCTCAAAATCAATTGCACGTAAAGAGTAAAATAACAAAATACCAAACTCCAAGGAAAATTCAAAACGGAAAGTCCCTTATCAAATGGCAAAATTAAAAGCTCAAACACATTTAAAAAAAATGAATAGAAAAACAACTGTCATATTCCCGACTTGGTACAGACATTTCCTTATGTAGACAATGGTGGATTAAATATGGTTTTATAGCTAACTAAACCTCTTACTTGTATCACAGTCGTATAAAATTCCATTATATTGACAAAAATGTGTGAACAAAACAAACAGATAGAATAGATAAAAATGTAAAAAATTAGGGGTACAGCAGTCAACATTGTGTTATAATCTGAATCACTATAAAAACAAACAAATATGCCCACAAAGAAAAACAAATATGTCAAGAAAGAAAAACAAAATGGCATATAGCCAAAGCACATAAGCCAAAATGAAAGACAAGAATACAAAAAAATACGAAAACACATTTGTTTTACGACCACTGGGTCGGTACCTTTTTCATTTGGACTATCAGTCCCACAGGTACCATACACCCTGTAGTCTCGATTTCAATAATTGTCTTTGTACAGTGACAAGATTTCAAGCTTAAAACATCATGAAATTGTGTTAAACTACAGTTTTAATTCCATCGGGCAAAGTTTGAGCCACACGATTTTGGCTCTTTTATTTATCATATTTTGGTTTTATACTAACAATTGTTTTATATTTTTGCTTTATGGTACATTAAATGACATTTTTGTTCAATTAACTCAATTAATACAGAAGCATAAAAAGAATTTACTAAGTTCGTACTAAAGCAATATTCCCTGAGTATGAGTGATCTAGTCAATTTGTAGGTGTTCACAAATTGCAATTTTAATTTGTTGATTGTCAAAGTGCAGTTTTTTTCTTCATTTTATAGAGTATTGAAAATTTACAATCCTGTCTTTTTACAATTCTTGATTATCATGAACGCTACCGTCAACACAAAGAGACAACAAGCAACTCACCAGACTCGCGATCGTCCTTCTCATGTGCAGCGTGAACAGATGATAACTAAAAGAAAGGTTTGAAAATCATCTATATAACAAAAAGAAGTCAATGTACAACAGATCTATTGATCAGCAGTTTGTTCTGCTCTTATTTATAACATGCTGAAGTTTTAATTACAATCAGAAAATACATTTTATTTCAAATGAGGTTTTTAACTGCGAGTATGTTCACGATAAGATTAAATCGGCCATAAGATTTCTAATCAGACCAAAATAACTACACAGTATACATACAAATAGTTGAGATAATACTTATAAACCTTGAATAACAATATCAGGTTCACCTTCCGCAACTATGTCAAAGATTTGGCAGATTTTGATAGTCAACAGGGTTGTGGAGGTCTTTCTCGTCGTGCGTTTAACCACAATCTTCATTCGCTACGGTTAGTATGGTAAACGTCACATAAGTTGATTTTTATTGTCACTTTACCTAGCATTTTGGCTATGTAACAAGCTCCATTTCATAACCAAATAATGGCCTTTTTGATATATAATAATAAAGTTGAAATTCAAGGCCATATTTGGATGATAGAGAACCTTGGATTAGAAATGTCTGCACAATAACATAAAAGCTGAACTAAGTTAATTGTTTCTTGTTAAGATGGTTTAAATCAAAATTACCATTTCACTTTAAAACGAATTTACTAGTGTTAGTAAAGGGAAAAGATGATTGCAATTCAAAACAAAAGAATTGCAAATGTGTCTTTAAAATAGGTGAAGATTTCATTTGCACAAGATATGAATCCAGTCAGCACTGGCCCAATGAGGTTTTGTTTTGTTAATCTTCTACGAATGTGCTCCTGAGTACTTTGTTATTTCATTGTGGAAAACGCGTTTTAACTTTTTATGTCATTATGTAAAAACATAAAAACCTGCATAGACTGAAGCTCAGCAAGAGTTAGATCCTTCACTGATACCCTGAAGTTTTCAAGTTCATCTCGCCTTTTCTAAAATGAAATTAAAGAATGAATATGATTTTGAAAATTTGATTTATTTTGTCAAACATTGATACATGTATTAAGTAAAACTCACTTGCCAACGTAAAATAAACACAAATGGATTGGCATCTGCAAAATACTGTTAAGTATATTGTTTACTTTCTTACAAATTATGATATGAAAAGATCTCTCTACAACCGTTGTACGACTGTGTTATATTGGCTTCGAATCGTTGGATTCACTATTTATTCCTGGCTGTAGTGTGCATACAATTTTATTACTGCGAGACTCAACTTAACATACTATGAAATCAGGGAACTACATTTTGCGCACTTAAAAATCCAATATTTATATTAATGTCATAATGTATCATAACATTATTTGCGAGTATATTCTTTCCTTATTTTATTTACTTATCATATGATAATACAACTCTTTGAAAGTCCACATAAACAATACTTTACCGTTGATAAAGAATAATGCATCAACATTTATGTATAAATAAAAAGATAAACAATATCCTCACCTTTCTGTATGTTGCAAACACGTGAAAATCATGATAAATTACTGGTATCAGATCTTTACTTAACATGACGTCAAACTCAACAAAGTCAGCACCCTACAATTTATAATATTCTACTGCATTTGTTTATTTAAAATGCCTGCGGAGATTGTAAACGTTTGATATGTGATATAACTTTGTGTTGATGATTAATATGTCATTTTTAACCAGGCATTCATTATTCAGTCTACTTCTTTCTACATACTGTTTGATATAGCAGTTAAAATACACACGTAAGAAATATTTTTGGGTGAAGCAGTATAGGATATAAATTATGTACAATTTCAGACTATGAGATCAAAACGTGCATTGATAATCATAATTGTTTAAGTAATTTCATAGTCTTAATTCTATCTTTATAAATTTTAATCTTATATGTTGCTCGATAAAGATTTATATACATTACATAAAAAAGAGAAGCTGTCTTTACCATCGGAAACTTACATGACTACCTGCTGACTGTAAAGATGCAATAGTATTTTCTCTTACTGATCTGAAAAATGGGGCGGAAAAACTTTTCAAACAATAATATATGCTGACAAAACTAAAGATTACTACAGGCAATCCTTCACTCCATTAATATTAGGCAGTAACTAGTTGTAGATTTTCCCATGTTTAATTACTAGTCTCTCAATCGTGTATTGTCCTAAAGATTTTCGACATTTTGACCTTGATTGTTTTGTTATCCTTATAGTTACAATTTCATGTAGATATATGGTAAAGACATCCGTTTAACATACAAATTGTAGGTTACTCCTGCAATTGTACATTTAAGGTTATCACTTAAGTAAATGCTTATTAAGATCAAGCTGAATCTTGTGTTTACATGTGTCATAAAGTATAACCTATGAAAACTATTCTATTTGATCACGACACGTGTGTTTTTAAATATTCTTATCAGGCACGCTCAAGTCCATGTTGAAGACTTTTCAGAAACTGCCATGAATCAAGTAATAAACTCCTAAAAGATACCAGGCTTATAATTTGGTACGTCAGACGCGTATTTCATCAAAGGCGCTAGTTTAAAGGTCAAAGTAAAAGCGACATTAAAGACCATAAACAAGAGTGACGTTCTGTGGATATTGGTTCTTAAACCTGGTACTTAATTGAACTTATATCACCTACTCATCCCATTGATATACTAAAAATTATGTAATACAAAAACATTTACTTTGTTTGTGAATGTGACGAGCCCATTCCTTTGTGTCCTATATCTAGTGCAGCTCTTTCAAACTTCCAGTAATTCTGATATGACACCTCCATTGTCATAGGTAGACCTACCAGAGGTTTTATCAAAAGATAATCCACTAGAAATAAAGTAGAAGTTTGGTTCTTAGCATTGGTATACATGTTTAAATTCAACTAATTTCCTATCTGCAAAAACTGGTAAAAATATAAAACTTAAGAGAAGAATCAATTACATATTTATTGGACTATGTAAATTGACTGCATTTAATGGACGGATGGGTGGCTGCGTACCGCCCAATGGCAATAAAATGCATATCCAGGACGAAAACATGAAAATGTGATATGAATATAGACCCTGCGTTTTACTGGACCGACAAAAAAGACTCACCAATGAGGCTAAATCAAAAAAGTTAAAAAAAAAAGCCAAATAAAGTACGAAGTTGAAAAGCATTGAGGTCCCAAAAATCCGAAAGATTTTGCCAAATATATAAGGCAAAATATTGTCCTATGAAATATTGTCCCCAAAGACAATATCCCCAAAGACAATATTTCATGACTATGTTTTATGAAATATTGTCCTCATCTATGAAAAAATGTCCAAAGGACAAATTTCAATTGTGAAATTATGTCTGTATATAGTCAATATTTCACAGATGAATACTATGAAAGTTTGTCCTGTTAAAGGGAGGTTATATTTTTGTGTGTATTGAGACAATATTTCATAGACAGATTGTTATGAAATTTTGTCTCATGAAGGGGAGGTTATCAACATATATCATGTTGGATAATCATATCATTAAAGTGTTTTATTTTATTGATAATAATAAATAAACACAAACTAATATTCCAGTTACTCCTGTACCTCCAAAACGCTGACCCAAAAAGATTTGTCAATCTAGTATTTACTAATACTATTAGTACATTCAATTTTGAACATAAATAAGTGATTGTCAGTACATTACTTATATTTATACAGTATAATGCAGTACAATGGAACATATATGTTAGACAATTCCGATCTATTAACCATTTATAAAGTTTCTGCAAATTTGAAACTAGCTCATGTAAAAATAAATATTAGTTTGAAATATACAAAATTAATTAATTAATTAATAAAAAATTATTTCAGTTATAAATCTAAAAATGTGCATGCTGCATGCTCAAGTATACTGATTTTAATTTTGTAATAATTTGATCAAGAAATAATTTCATGGACAGTATTTCGGTCAAATAATGTCATAGACAGTATTTCATAGTGAAATATTGTCATGGACAGATTTTCATAATGAAATATTGTCCAAAAGGAGGTGACAAAACTTCATGGACAAGGACACTATTTCATAATAGTTATTATGAAATAGTGTCCTCGGACAGTATTTCTTATGAAATTTTGTCCGACGGACAATATTTCGTGGGGACAATATTTTATGTTACAGCTAAGGTAATCTATTCCTGGGTTAGAAAATCCTTAGTATTTTGTCAACTTTCCTTGGGGGAGATGGAATCTCCATAGCTTCAATATAATTTCTTAATTTATCAACGGAGAGTTTAAGAAAGTATGTAATAAATTATTTCAGTACCGAAGTACTGACTACTGAGCTGGTATTACCCTCGGGGACTAACATTTAACCAGTATTGATAATTACTACTATTAAATGCTCCTCAAAATAAGGTACACAAATATAATTTGTAAACAAAAAATATCTGTGCAGTGATATTGGACATGTTGCTTTTGTAACCAGTGACTAAGCATAACCATTTATAATGATTTGAAGAGCAGATGTCCATAGAGGAAAGTGGTGAATTTCCAGAAAACAATCTGAGTGGAACTAGAAATTTGTTTTACCTCGAGAAACCGCATCACGAAGGCCTTTCCGTTATGGACTATTATTCATTTCGGACCTCGGAAATTTAACCACATATTCGCAAATGTCTTAGCTTTGAAACGAGCCACCATATATGCAAAAGTTTACGATCTGGGAAGAGGAATTGAAGAAAATGCTACCATTACCGCCTACCTGAAATGAATTGCGCATAATGACCTAGCAGTGGTATTGAGATGATGCTACTATCACCGACTAACAGTCCACAAGCAGTGATAATGAAAAACATTGACCTTTTCCGAATTATCCTTCATCAGGAATACTCAAACATAAAAAATTTAAAGAAAAGAATATATCAACAGTCGAAAGGTTGTTAGGAGCTTTATGAACAAAGGGAACAAATAAAGAAAATAGCACAATATATCTAATGTCAACGGAATGCATTCATTTTGTGAATCTAATTAAAATGCAGATCCTGTGTCTTTTAGGAATCATCAGGATTAGTTGTTATGATACATTCCTTCTAACATTTTGAGGCAATGGTTGATGTAATACAAGTACTAGTATATGAACAAAAAAGGGAATATACACACGATCGGTTTCAATCAGATACATTTGTTTTACATTTGAACAATTTTTGGTTTCAATGGTAACAATGACATACCTTTTACTTGTCCAATAGGTTTATGTTTAAGGCCTGTTATTGGTATAGTCTTAACATCGTTCGTATGCTTCATTTCCATTGGTAAAATGTAATTATATCCAACATGTTTTGGATCCTTGTCAGGTAAGTGTACGAAGAATTCAAACTGAAAGCCCTATAAGTTAAATCAAAACAATGAATATGACATATATTTGAAAGTATTCAAAAGAAGTGTAATTTTGTTATGTACATTTTGTATTACAAAGCAAATAAATGTAATATTTAATTCTGATAGCTTCAATATAAACTAGAAATCGGGTCAACTTCCTCCCAAATAATATAACATTGTATATTGTGTTTCAATTTTAACAAAACTTCATAGCTTCGTGTGCTTTTTTTCAGTTCACATGAACTTAGATGTATTCGATGAATGATTTTATCACCTTTTCACACTTTGATGAGTGAGGCAAAAACATGTGAGCATAGCATAAACATATTGCAATTTACCTTTCCTTAAACATTTATACAAGATCATAAAATTAAAATAAAACTAACTAAATATTCTGGATCGATTGTTCTTGCTGAAAATATCACGAAGTCATTAGGATTGTACAGCTCTCCATTCGTGTTTTGTATATGTGGTTTCTCTTGGCCATTTTTCAATGTCTGAAAAAAAATCATTAAAAAGGAAATGTTTTTTTTTGTGGTATTGTTGGTTAGTAATGAATATCATAGTCAAAAAAGGCAAATTTACAATAGGAAACAAAAATCGTTTTGTTTTTGTTGTATATCTTATTATTGAGTTTCATATGGTAATTAAAATATAGAAATCTGGAGAAAACAAAACCAATGATTGTTGTTTAGTTTATTTGAATTCAGTTCCCTTTGGTAAATGACCGCAGTATAAGTAAAGAATTTCTGATTATTTGATTATTGAAAGCAAAATATTATCAAGGAATTAATTAAAAAGACATAGAGATTATTTGTAAAACACACGATGAAGCGATAGTTGATGATTTTTTTTAATGTCGTTTAGATACCTTAGCCAATACAAAGTAGGGAACTTCAAATGAAAATTAGAGACCTCAGGCTGAGATGTACAATTTGACCCTCGTTGGAATGCAAGACTTTGAATGTGAAATTTGAAGTTTCACGGTCTCGCCTTGAATGAGAATTATTTTCTGTATTGACGTCTGTTGTATACTGATATATAATTAAAAATTACATCTCTACTGGGTTTATATACACCTAACAAATTAATAACTACTTATATGCCAGCAAAATAGGAAGATGCAAAGATTTGAACGGTAGAGTCAATAAATATACTAGCAAAGTTAATGCAATCAATATATCTGTATATAGTGTACTAGTATCATATCTAAATGAGAAAATGCCTTTCATGATTTTCAAGTCTTGGACATCAAGGGCGTGATCAAATAGAAAACTTCTATCAAAAAAACGTGTTTACAAAGATCTTGACAATGATATAACTTATAAAAGATACTCTTCTTATGTTCTGTTTTTAACTGCTATATACCAGATTACATTTTTCGCCACTGATTTTGAAATGTTAATTCTGTATCGAAAATAAATCTCTATCAATTGAATAGCTTGAAAATTGTATTGTTTGTAAAGATTATGCCTGCCTGTACAAAATTGCTTAGACAGAGGTCAAATGTGGTAGGTGTCCGCCTGTCACATGGTGTGATAAGGTATAATGTGTTACAAAATTATAATTGTTTCCATCCAAAATATTCAGATATTCATTTGACCTTACAACTCTGTATATGGTTTTTGTTTTGTCTAATGCAACCTAGATTTCAATTCAACAATAATTTACATTTATTAAGCAGAGCAGGGATCTGTTACTTACAGAGACAAGCACTTTCGTATAAGTCGCTGCTGGGATTGTATCTGGTTGGTAATCATCTTCCTCATCACCTTCCATTGTCTTAATAGAAAATTGATATATTCTAATATATGCAGTAGATCTACATTTAAAGTCGTGTGAAACTTTTTTCTTGAAATTGTAATGTTATTGGAATTATTGAACCAACGCAAGTATAACTAAACTAAGACCTCTATGCACGATTTTTACAATTATTACAAATCCATAACATATAATCGACAGAAAATATTTCATTCATCGAAAACTTTTCCTGCTGAATAACTTTCGTGTTTGATTGCCGAAGTTTACCGAACGTGACCTTAATTAACAATCAACACAGATTCGTCGAGCACGTGAAAATAGTGAGATGATATGAATGCAATAGCGATGTGTTTTTATTTGCTAATTGTTCTTAAAAAAGTTGATGGTAAAATGTAATCAAAAACACATATTGATGGATGACTGTGTTGTTGTTTTTTTTTAAATCTGTTACATCTCGTTATGTTTTGCTTAATCCAATATCTAGACATTTTTAAAAATATTGCTGGTCTTCTAACTTTAAAATAATAGAATAGTATTAAAACAGATAATAAACGTATTACACGAGTTTAACACTTGGGACTGTGGTAATAATCTACTGTGACCTAATTTCATGTCATTTTATTTCCGAATTTGATAAAAAGCAGTTGGTTCTTGTATGTCATATCAACTGCAAACAAATTTGAAATTTACAAAGTATTCTTATCTTTTTGTTCTTTCTACTTGACCCATTTGTTTAAATTCGAACTTTGGTATTTTAACAAAGAAACATACATCTCTAAATCTAAGATCTAAAGGTGTACATTTAACGCTGTATTTCTGGGTTCTATGTCGAGATTTCCACATATATATTGGGTTACTGTGTAATCTCAGGTGAATCTCTGTTTCGTCAATTAACCAGCCTGATGATACATGCTTCTTCTGACCTGCAATTATTATTCTAATTATTAACGATGAACAAATATGATAAAACTCTTTTCGCAATGTCGACGACATTGTTGTCATCTTTCAAGAAATAACTGTCATATTGATAGTGTATTCATATGATGAAAATATTTTATCAGAAAAAAAAATGGTTGTTTAATTTAAAACATAATTGTTAAATAAATCATAATTTATAAAATATTCTTACTTGGGCAAAGTTTATTTTTTCGCTGACCAATGCCAAGAACATACATGTATACATAAAGAAAAAGAGAAAAGTGTCTGAAAATTAAAAAAAAAAACAAAAACAAAAACAAAAACGAAAGAGCTTACCAATACGAGGCTCGGTACCATTAAATATCAAGAATGTCCGAGTAAGTTAGAACATCAGCCAACAAACGACCTAAAATAACTCAATTCTTAAACTCAAGACACTTGAATTGCCATTTTCGTGCTCTTTGGTTCTTTTGTGCGCACACCATAAGGTATTACAAATACAGGTCTTTGCAACCATGAATACAAGAGTGCACACACTGAACTGTCTCGCCTGCTTTACTGACCATTGATTTTATGTTGAGTCTTAAAGATAAAGGTTTTACTACAAGTATCACATACATTTAACATTTTTTAAAGATCCATGACAATGAGGTCATGGTCAGATAAATCCTGGAAGACAGACATGTACACCTTACAATAATACCATACACCAAACATAGCTGACCTATTACTATTACTATTAGTATTTGAAAAAGAGATCAAGCAGAAAAACTTAACAATGAACCATGAAAACGAGGTCAAGGTCAGATGACACCTGCCAGACAGACATGTACACCTTACAATGATTCCATACACCAAATATAGTTGACATATTGCTTATAGTGCTTGACATGTACCCCTGTACAATCATTCCATCCATCATATATTAGTTGCTGCTTATATTACTAATCTGAGAAACGGACCTTATCACGTAACTTTAACCTTGATCACTGATCCATGAAATTAGGTTGCGGTCAGGTGAACGCTATCTGACGGACATGTAGACATTGCAAGGAACCCATAAACCAAATATGGTTATTCTAAGTGAGAAATTCACATGACAAAATAACTTTAAATTTTTTTTTTCAAGCAGTCGCTGAACCATGAAAATGAGGTCAAGGACAATGGAAATGACAGACGGAAACTTCGTAAAATAAGGTATAGGCATACAAGTCTAGATCTTCTACCTTCTGAAATATTAAGCTTTATACAAATAATTTACAATGCCGCCGGAGAGTAATTCCTATATCTCGCAGACTGCGATTTTCGTCTCAGGCGAAACAATAAAACTAAGGTTCATGGATGATCTTACAACTATCCATGCACCAAAGGAAACGGTTGTAAAAGATGCCGGTCAACAATTACAGATCACCATAAGGCCTTTAAAAATGAGAAAAACTCATACCGTATAAAGTAGATATATGCTATAAAGATATCCTGGATGACAAAATCTATGTGAAACAATTAAAAAATAACAACAACCTGTTTTATACAGAATATTGTTTTGGTTCACGGGATCTCCTTTAATCATTTCTAGAAAATCATATTGATAATGATCTTTTCATATAATTACCATATTCTCCAAATGTGTCTATTTTATTCTCGTACTTCGCAGGATCTTTCAGGTAATCTGAAAATAAGAAATTGAGAAATATATCATAAAGCAAATATTATATACCCTTTATTCCGTTAGGAACAAATGCTGAATTATTTATTTTAGAATATTTCTTTCATTTAGCTCTAATATTATAAAAGATCTTTTATATCATTTAAATCTTTTAAATTCTTTGGCTTGGATTCGAATGTGTTGAACATTCAGTAATTACAACAGTTTGTTCCCATCACTTGTGTCTTTAAAACTTAAAAAAAATTATAAAGATTTTACACACAATTTTTCACATACATGATCATAACCCAGTAACAAGGTAACCAGTCCCTTCCTAGTTGCACATGTTATAGCCTCTAAGTGACATGTAATAAGTATAAACCGTACCTCTTGGAGAGAAAAGTCTTGGTTTTATGTTTGTTTCCCATCTTATAACATCCACTGTTCTCTCAGAATCCTCGCTTTCAGAATCTGCAATTCTAGCAACGAAGTAACGGTATCTACAATTCTTCGCATCATCTGATAAAGTGATCGTCTTTTTCCAAATATTCCTATACAAGAAAAGGTGAACACCTGTTACCTGCTAAACCTAAATTATTTTGGTTACCTCTGAAAAAAATCTTTGAAAAACATCAAAATTTATCTTTTCACACTGGTGCCAATAGGAAAGGTGTCAACATGGTCCATCGTTAACCTTTCTATACGTCTAAAAACTACCTCTAGGCGCACCATTGTTACGATAGTCTATCATACTGTATCGTTTCGTTCAGCTTATATGGTAATTCTGCAGTAATTATGTTTTTCAGGGTGCTTCATAAGGTAAAAAACAGAGAAATTTTTTTATAAGGGTTAACGATGTGGGTCTTCATTTCTGTAATCTTTAATTTTTATGCCATTTGTCTCTATTCTACAATTTGTTGGTCGATTATTCTCTATTCTTAATATTCTAGCGCCCTTTTGTTCTATTTTCATTGTACTAATGGTCCATTTTTCTATATTTGTCATTTTGGGGCTATTCAATCTCTGTTTTTTGCCCATTATTCCCTATTCTGTAAACCCCACCCAGACCCTCTTGTACTGACCGATTATAAAAAGAAGTAATTTTATTTGAAGTGTACATGTGACTCGAGACATAACATGTAAAGCCGACTCTATTAAAACGTGTTACAATTTCATAATATCTTCAATTTCATTAAATCACATTAAGTTTTCGATTAGCATTGGAAAGATTGATACAATGATTGTTATTTGCCTTATGTCCAGTAGCAAATATTTCAAGTATCAACAGGACAAGTACAAATTAACAGTAAATCTTATATGTAGGCTCTGCAAAGTGGTACGGGATTATGAGTTAGAAATTTTGACTGCAACTAGAAAATAAAAAAAAGGGTATGACTAATATGGACAGAAATTGTGACTTGCAACATGCCACCTACGGACTCCTTAAAGAGTTGTAGAAAGGGTTGGTTAACGCACTCTCTATATATACAAGATGCATCGGAATTTGCGTCCCCATTTACAACGGACGTGGAAAGGTATTTGTACATCCCGCGTAGGGTAATAAAATTTAAAACCTTAAAAAACATCCAACCAAAATACAGACAAGCACACAATAGGACCAAGTTCACATGTAGACATTTGTTTTCTTCAACCAATAAATCGGACCATATTGAAATTTCACATTATGCTGAAATGAAATCCAGAAAATCTGACTTTTCAACTGATGGATCGATGGTTGTAGACAGAGTGTCATCTGCTGTTGTCTTTGGAGACCGAGCTGCAACTTTGCCCGTGCCTCCTACTGCATCCATCTTTACTGTAGGAACATAGGAAATAATCTTGGCCTTGCAAGTTATTAATTCAATAGACAAATTAAAATGCTGTATATGTTCTGACTCACTTTCATTTGTTCAAGACAAACAAAATACCAAAATTAAAAACCCGTTAATCCTTAAATTCATATACGTATTGAGAAATCTGATTTTTTGTAATAAAGAAATTATTCTTCTATGGGCGCAAAGTAACACTGGATTCTAAGATTTTAAATTTCATCACATAGTCTTGGTGTTGAACTTTATTTGTAAATAAGTGAGTGTACTTTAAACTGATGTTTAGTATATTGAAGGACCTTTTGTTTGATTTTTAAAACAGTACTCATTGTAAATATATTTGAATTAGATTTCGCCGCGAAATAGCCTTTTTGTGCTGAGGCGGCGCAAAGCATCAATCAATCAATCAAATTGCTCGATCTGTAAGAAATGTGTCATACCTCATGTATCGCATTTAATAACATGCACACGGAGTATCGTATACAACTTAAAGTGTAATACTATAGACAATACACCTAGAACAAGAGTGCACATGCTGAAATGTCTCTCCTGCTTTATTGACCATAGATTTTATGTTGAAAGTCTCAAAGATTTTACTACAAGTTAGTATCCCATATACTTAACATTTTAAAGAACCATGACAATGAAGTCAAGGTCAGATAAATCCTGTCAGACAGACATGTACACCTTACAATTATTCTGTACAACCAAATATAGTTGCAGACCTGTTGCTTATGGTAATTGAAAAACATAAAAACTTAACATTGACCAATGAACCATAAAAATGAGGTCAAGATCAAATGAAACATGCCAGACTGGCATGTACCCCTACAATCATGCCATACACCACATATAGTTGACCTATTGTTTATAGTATCTCAGAAACGGACCTAATCACGTAGCTTTAACCTTGATCACTGATCCATGAAATGAGGTCGAGGTCAGGTGAACCCTGTCTGGAGGACATGTAGACACTGCAAGGAACAATACACCAAATATAGTTATCTTATTACTCATAACACATGTAACAAGTGAGAAATTCACATGACAAAAATACGGAGAATGGACACATGACAGACGGAAACTTCGTGAGATAAGGTATATAGGTATGAAGCATCCAGGTCTTCTACCTTCTGAAATATAAAGCTTTATACAAATATCCTTATGTCTCGCAAACTAGTTCCTGAAATCCATCCTTTCTATTTTACACTATACTAACTGATACAAGATCAATCTTTTGATATTTGCATTGGAACCTCAAATTGACATCGTTAACATCAACAGAACTCCTTTTAAATCAAAACTATTGCATCATTCTCAATTTAAAAGGCATTCTTTTTCAAGTAAAACGGGAGCTGGTTTAAAGTCTGTACGTGTCGATGTATAAAGAATAAAAAAATTGAAATAAAGACCCTCCATCCCCCATTCCAGACCCTCATTACTGTATCTTTTTTTTATTATTGTGTTTTATATGAAATTTTGTTATGCTGTTTTGACTTTTTCCGCTGTTTATTATGACTGAGGAACATGTACAGTTGTTTTACCCAAAATATTGCAAAAGACGTCTACAATAGAGGTGAGTTTTAAAACAGTTTATACGATCCATTGATTATGTTGGTCATACGTACGTGACGTTACCATGGCATTGGACTTAAAATCTGTATTTTTAAAGGACATTCATTCAAACCGGGAAAGGGCATTTCTTAAAAAGTTCTATATTTGTTCAATGCTTATTAAAATAGGAGAAAAACATTTTTTTTTATTCACCAAATTATGACCCAGGAGGGCATGTAACTTATTTTAAACAAAATACTACTATATTAGACAAACTTACACGCCACTGCTTGAAACTCTTGTTAATTTGATAGCATGGTGTGGATTCCAGTTTCCTATCTTCTCACAATCTCCCACAAGACACACATTATCCCCTGTGTCTGTCTCGGCTCGCACACAAAAGGTCACCTCAAAAGTCATTGACATCTGTATAGATTTTGACAAAGTAAATGAAGACACTTTAGTTTATGTACTGGTGAAGTTTTAACCATTAATTAAATCCATCCATGCTTATAGAAATATCCCTACCAGTATATAACATGCCATGTTACTACAATTATACAACAAAATCTGAGACATGCAATGCTAACTGCATGGTTATCAATATTTTATAATAACTTATCCACCCTTGTTTATTTTTAGACTCTCTATATATAAGACAAGGTCAGTGTTGTTGCTAATAATATCAACACGCTAATTCTCAGTATAAATACCTTAATTAGTGGATTATTAATTATATTGAGTAATAAATGTCATAGTGATCTCTTTTCAACATAGATAAAATCCGGATTTTACCAGTTACACGAACACATGATTAGCATGACAGGTTTAAGATTCTCAAATCAATAAAAAAAGATATCATATATTCATATTTATACTCCCGGAAAGTGAAAGTTTATCGTTATTACAAAGAAACCAAATATAAGCTGAAGCTATGTAAATCATATGAACCGTAACGTTACGCCTACCTATAAACTGAATAAACAAACGTCTACGCTAATTTAAGAAAATCAAATACACATTTTTCATAAAAATTACACAAGACAAATATGCACGGAAGTTACATAAACAAACAAAGTACGTCACTACCTTTAAAAGCGGCTAATTCAAAATGAAATATGTTGCCAGTTAAATGTTTGTCGTGGGTCATGTTTGATCTTTGCTAACTTTTTTCCCGGGAGAGGGGGAATGTAAGCGTACTTTCATTCCGCCGTGTATTTATTCCGGGTAACTGTTTTTCACTAGAGAATATTGGATGTAAATAGTGTGAAAGCGTCGATCTTGATATTGTTGTTTTGTTTATATTAGACCGGTTTATTGTTTACAAAAATAAATGGGTTAAAATTAAAATAATTTTCAAGGAACCAGTTTAATTAATCTGAGTCAATCTAGCAAATAATATTGATGATGAAGAGGAGGATATTTTTATAACTCAAAATACTTTATCAATGATCAGGACATTGAACTTGATATAAACTAAATTTTAAGAGCAGATTTGTTCTTACATAAAGTTTCAATTATAGAAGCATCCTTTGATATTGACAAAGAAGATATGATTTTATATCCAAGTCGACCGAAGAGCAAATACACAGAAAAACTTCGGCAATCCAATTAATATAAATATTACAATTAGTGACAATTTAAAAGCATATGATTTTATAGATTTGCATAGAAAAATTATTTAAATCTTTTTCGTTAATAAACATTTGATTTATTGTGTTATCGTGTGTTCAAAATGAGTACTAATCACTTCATCAATGTATGGATCTAAAGCACTAGTGTAATTAATCCCGGTATAAAATAATTAGTGCAATCATTCCGGTACAAAACCACTAGTGTAACCATTCCTGGTTCACAAACACTAGTGTGAACATTCCTCGGATGAAAACTCTCCACTTTTTATATAAATCAGCTATGCTAGTTTCAAATACATTACAAACTATTAAGCCACATTTTATATATATTTCCCCTTCAAAAAACCCTGTTTAGAACCTTATAATGACTGGTGGACGTTTTACACTGGACCCGGATAGAAAAACCTAGTGAATTTTTGTTGGTGGATAAAAATCACTGGGGATTTTCTTCCTCCGGATAAACTACACTGGCGGAATCAAACCACTGTTACAGGAACTCCCTCGTATAAGGGTCTGGATTGGGGTAGGCTATTTCTTTATTCTTTTATCATGTAAATTTTTATACCATTTTTCTCTGTTTTAATTTATGTTGCCCATTATTCTCTATTCTTTATAATTTAGCATCCTATTATTTTGTATTCCAATTTTTTTTTTTTTGCCTTTTTGTAATCTATATAGATTTTTGTCTTTTATTCTGCACTTTTTACCCATTATTCTCTATTCTGAAAGCCTCATCCAGACCTTCTTTTATGGTAGTGTTGAGCAGCAGAGACCGAGAAAGCGAGTACCCAATTAATCCCGTTTCATATATTTTGAATAGCAAAAATACATTCGCTATCTTATATTTTTTGACAAAAAAATATACCTATATATATAGCTATCATGATTACGCTATTTCTTGGAGAGATGGATATATTTGCTGTATATCATTTTTTTCTGTTTATTGTTTTTTATATACATCAGGCCGTTAGTTTTCTCGTTTGAATTGTTTTACATTTGTCATTTCGGGGCCTTTTATAGCTCAATGTGTAGCCCGTACGATGACCTTTAGTTGTTAACTTCTATGCCAATTGGTCTCTGGTGGAGAGTTGTCTGATTGGCAATCAATGATCATACCACATCTTCTTATTTTTATATTGACAAATATCTGATGCATTAACGACTGTTGTTTTTATGAAATCTGTGAAAAAATCGACAATTGATTAGTTTCATGAATTATAATTCAATCAACAACCTTGTCATATATTTCATCTCAATTTCTACAAATAATGATAAATAAATAAGCTTTATTTAGAGTCGGCATGGTTATAAAACAAAGACATAAATAAGCTCCATTGAGCTTTTAACCAACCTTAGGCCGGGAAGGACGACCATCAGTTTTTAATTCATTTGCACTCAGGCAAGGGCCAGAACAGTTATTTTCTGCTCGTCCGAAAAAGTGACACACACATTGCCGCCCCTTTCAGGATCAAATGGGCGTCACCTAAAGTAAATTTAACTTTTACAAATACAGATCACCTTTTTAGTAGAAAAGTATTAACAAAAATACCAATGTCAATTAAAAAAGGGGGAAGTTCATGCACAAAACTAACAAAATCAAACTCCCAACTATTCATAGGATACACATACAACTTCAAACTAGAGTAGTCAAAATAAAACCAGAATTTTGATTCTATTGAAATATGTAAATATAATAGGATAACTATCAAGGTTGATTTAGAGTCATAGGAAAGAGGGTTGTATTGTCCGAACTGTAAAATTTCTGCCGAGCGTAGGGAGGCATTTTTTTACGATCTTATTAAAAAAAAGATTTTGAGGGGGGGGGGGTCAATAACGGGACCCTACGCCCCCTAAATCAAGCACCGAAAATACTTCCGTAAAAAATTTAAAGTAACGCTTAATAAATTTTATGTTTATCTGAATTATCTGTAACTATTGTATCCTACCTTTGTAGATGTGGCAAACGAAGCGAGCCAAAAGTATTTTGATCATTTTGAATATTTTGGGCCAGAATATTTATTTTCATGTCTGATAAGGCAAGATTATTTATTTACAACTTAATGGAGCAAGAATAGTTATTTCCAAAATCTGACAAAATTTTAGATTTCATTGAACGTAATCTATGACTGGTAAATTAATAAATCAGGGATTTCGTTAACACAAATTACCTTTACTAAATTATTTCATAGATAAAAAGATTTTCAAGGTTTAGAAGTTTTGATGGAACCTTTAGAAATTTATTACAAACGGGATTATCACATCGATGATTTTTATAGAGACCGTAAATTAAGATACGATCCATATGAGACTACTATAACACAGTGTTTAGTAGTTTCAGGATCCATGTAAACATACTGATCCTTTGAATAAATTCCTCCACTGGTTGGAGAACTACTGTATTTTTTCCACACTGCATTTATGAATTGAATGCTTCTTTTTTCTTCTTTTTGGCATGTGACTTCAACAAAGGTAACCATTTTTTTGACTGTCCATTTGGAGTTGATGTATAGACGTAACAAATGGATCTTTTGTTATGATAAAGAAGTGTCATTAACACCCTTATAAAATATCCATGTCAAATTGAGAGATTAGTTTACTACACGTACCGATGGTTATTACCGGGTTTGTACTAACGTACAACAAGACAGGTGCCACATGTGGAGCAGGATCTGCTTACCCTTCCGGAGCACCTGAGATCACCACCCAGCTTTTTGTGGAGTTCGTGTTGCTCAGTCTTTTGTTTCAATGCTGTGTTTTGTGTACTATTGTTTGTCTGTTGGTCTTTTTCTTTTTTAGCCATGGCATTGTCAGTTTATTTTCGACTTATGAGTTTGAATGTCCCTTTGATATCTTTCACCTCTCTTTTATAAATTTGCCAATGTTATAGGGCAAGAGAGCTGCAGGAACTTAATTATCTGGAGGTTACTCTTTTTTTGGTGTGGTTCTTGTTGCTCAATGTTTAGTTATCTGTGTAATGTTTTAGTTACTAGGTAAATTTTTTCTTCTTCTAACTATGATGTTGACCTGTTGTCAGTCCTTATCGGTATATATGATTTCCTTGAAAGTGTATGCATGAAATATCAAAGACTTTAAATGATTGCACAGTTGAATAGGACAACTACCAAGTTTAAGTTACATATCCTCTCACATAATACAAATTATTAAAGCACTTGGTTATTTAAATATTTTATTTATAAATAGCATTACTGGTAAATAATGTTCTGTAGTAGCAATTGCCATTGTGGCAAATTTAAAGAAACAAATCAATGCACATTTTTGGTCATTCAGTATGGTCAATATTCAAGACCAAAACTTTAGTTTATAACTGGTGAATACAGTATTGATGTATACATCATTAACAAAACAATTCAACATCACAGATGCTGACACAATAATAAAACATACAATATTTAAGCATAACAAGTGGGTTGTTTTTTTGGATAAAAAAGATGTATGTACATGTATAACAATATAATCTCAATAAGAGGTTTTCAGGAGTTGGCATAGGTAACATTCTGATGCATCCCCATGTATTGAGTATCAAAACAAAGATGTATTTTAGATCAAGAGTGAATCACTCACAACCATCAACATTCATTGTAAAAATTAATTATTAACCAATGGTGATTTTCAACTGAATCACATGGTTTGAACTGTGGATTCATGTTTATAATTCGTGGGATACCATTTTTTCCTGGGATACCAGTTTTCGTGGATTTCCTGAGTAAAGGTGAACTACAAGTTTCAATTGTCAACGAAGAAATTTTTTCTATACGTTTGTATTCAGATTTTGGCAAAACCCACGAAATCAAACATACACTTAAAAACAAAAAGTATAGGTACCCAGGAAAATAAATTAATCCACAGTGCTTAAATTAGACACCCTCAACACATCTAGTATGTAATAAAACATTATCAATTGGTCAAAATGAATTTTTATTGACTTAAGGAATTAATAATGATCTCTGCCAATGGGCTCTGTTAATATTGATTCCTTAAGTTTTTAAAAACACATACTGTTTTATATAAAAGACTATAGTTGTAAACTTCTATGTCATTTGGCCTTTGGTAGAGAGTTGTCTCATAGGTTATCATACCACATCTTCTTATTTTTATATCATTGTAAAATAGTAATAAACCTTTCTGCATTCACAAAAATTGAAAGAAAAGAAAAGTACATGAATCTACAGTCATAGTGATACACTAAATTAACGGTAAAAACATAAATATTAATACATACAAAGTCACAAGTCATACTTTTGATGATGTCCACAATAATTTTGCATATCAATAAAATATGATCAAATGATCATTTCTGTTACAATCAAATTGTACATAAATTCAACGTACTATCAAATTTAGGGATCATAGATTTATTCTTACGAGGAAGCTCCGAGCATGCTCGGAGGATGCTCAGAGCTTTTTCAGTAGGCTCTTCTCTGCAGTTTATGTGAAAATAATTATCATGATCCATTAAGATGTCAATCAAATCTACACCACTTCTATGATAAGGAAAGTTGAGCATTATAGAGGAAGCTCAATTAACACCTGTGTAAACAACTGATCTATTCAAATACATTTTGCATGACATTTTACAAATTATAGAAAAGATAAGAAATTCTTCAACAGTACTGTGTAATGCTTGGAAAGAAATCTCAAGTCTCCACAAAAAAGTGAAAGTCATTTAACAAAAAATATACAATTATTATATTTATTAATCATTTCTTTTTTTATAATAAAAAAGATTCTCAAATCTTATAATTAGATGATATGATTTAAATATAGTTTATATTATATAATATGCTACATAAAAGTTATCAAGACACAAACAACAGTCAGGGGGCGATACTAAACAAGTTATTTTTTTTAGTTACTTAATATATACTAATAGGTATTTTTTGTTTTTTTAAATTATTTGATATAAACTCAATAGTTATTTTAAATGTCAAAAGTGGACTAAATGTAGTTTTTAAGAATTTTTTCATCATTTCATTAAGTAAAATTAAGTATTTATCCAACTTGAGATGAGTATAGAGAGATTACTTTAAAAATAATGAAAAAATATTACTTTTATAAATTATTTTATACATCTTCGAAAAACTAAGCATACTTACAATTATTTAAGGAACATATGTAATTGTTTTTGATAAAGATTTCAAATTATAAATAACTTCAAGTCTTAATTAAATCACAAAGTTCCATCCATTTATATTTGTTCATCTCTAAGATTTTAAAGGAAAATGTTATTTTAATAGCCCCAAGAGACCAATCTATGACCAAGAAGTGTGGCATCAGAAAGGCAATTTATAGTGTTTCAGGAGGATTTAAATAGTTTTATACTGCATGGGGAAAATAACCAGATGTGAAAATTTGTTAAAGCTTGTAAAACCTGTATGAATGGACACCTATAGAAATAATATTAACAGAAGTTACTTATTCATGATATATAAGTAATATTTGAAACAACCTTGTTTTCAATATAACTTGTATAAGTAATTTTGAAAATTACTTGTTTAAGTAATGCCCCTAACTATTAAAACAATGATAATTTTTTTTTTTTTTTATAAAATAGCAAAGTTAGTTTTTTATAAAAAAAATTATGGCTACTCTAAGAAAAGTTGAGGAGGTAATACCACCATTGTTTTCCCTCTAGTACGTCTCACTTTAATTGTCATTTTTTTTTTAATTGTGTGGATTTGGTTTTATTTAAATAAAGAAATACTTGGCATAATTATATAAGTGAAGTTTTATCCTGACCTGTACTTGAATGAAAATCTAATATAAAATTGTTTCCCCCTATCAGTCTTTGTTTAATTGGTATTTTTCAAAAAATATGTGCAGAATTTATCTATGTTTTAAATAAAGAAATACTTGACATGAGTAAAGTTTTTTCTTGTCCTGTACTATAGTAATAAAACAACATAATTTTTCAGTGCATATAAGAAAGAAGACATCACCAGAATTAACCAACCAAATTCTATCCCCCTTTTTTTTTCTCTGTTTACAAGCTTTAGTAGCCATGTCCCCTAAACTTGCAAAAATATTTTATATAAAAAACTTTGCTATTTTATAAAAAAAAAATACCATTGTTTAGTTAAGGGCATTACTTAAACTAGTAATTTTCAAAATTACCTATACAAGTTATATTGAAAACAAGGTTGTTTCAAATATTACTTATATATCATGAATAAGTAACTTCTGTTAATATTATTTCTATAGGTGTCCATTCATACAGGTTTTACAAGCTTTAACAAATTTTCACATCTGGTTATTTTCCCCATGCAGTATAAAACTATTTAAACCCTCCTGAAACACTAATTGCCTTTCTGATGCCACACTTCTTGGTCATAGATTGGTCTCTTGGGGCTATTAAAATAAAATTTTCCTTCAAAATCTTAGAGATGAACAAATATAAATGGATGGAACCTTGTGATTTAATTAAGACTTGAAGTTATTTATAATTTGAAATATTTATCAAAAACAATTACATATGTTCCTTAAATAATTGTAAGTATGCTTAGTTTTTCGAAGATGTATAAGATAATAAATAAAAGTAATATTTTTGTCATTATTTTGAAAGTAATCTCTCTATACTCATATCAAGTTGGATAAATACTTAATTTTACTTAATGAAATGATGAAAAAATTCTTAAAAACTACATTTAGTCCACTTTTGACATTTAAAATAACAATTGAGATTATATCAAATAATTTAAAAAAACAAAAAATACCTATTAATAAAAGTAACTAAAAAAAATAACTCGTTTAGTATCGCCCCCTGACTGTTGTTTGTGTCTTGATAACTTTTATGTAGCATATTATATAATATAAACCCTATTTAAATCATATCATCTAATTATAAAATTTGAGAATTTTTTTTATTATAAAAAAAGAAATGATTATTTTAAAAATATAATAATTGTATATTTTTTGTTAAATGACTTTCACTTTTTGTGGAGACTTGAGATTTCTTTCCAAGCATTACACAGTACTGTTGAAGAATTTCTAATCTATTCTATAGTTTTGTAAAATTTCAAGCAAAATGTATTTGAATAGATTAGATGTTTACACAGGTGTTAATTGAGCTTCCTCTATAATGCTCAACTTTCCTTATTATAGAAGTGGTGTAGATTTGATTGACATCTTAATGGATCATGATAATTATTTTCACATAAACTGCAGAGAAGAGCCTACTGAAAAAGCTCTGAGCATCCTCCGAGCATGCTTGGAGCTTCCTCGTAAGAATAAATCTATGATCCCTTATGCCATTAACAATAAATTCCCTAATATAAGGACAATAAACATTTCTACATAAAATTTAACATGCCATCAACATTAAATTCCCTAATATAAAGGACAATAAACATTACTAAATAAAAATTTAATATACATTGTGCAATCAAAGATTTCCCATCAACATCAAATTCTGTAAAGAACAATAATATTACTACATTAAACTCCCCAAAGGACATAAACATTACTACATAATCAAAGACAAGAACCAGTTTCCTAAATTGAAACCAGGACATGAGAATGTGTTGATATTAAATAGTTTTATTGAGCTTTCAAACTATAGTTTAGGACAAATACATACTTTGCAGATAAATTGTTTTTAAGTACAATGCATACATTTGTTTTAATGCTACGAAAGATACTTGTTATGGCAAGTACCTTAATTTTGAGATTCCATGTCTGTAAAAATGTTAAAATAACTACTTGTCAAAAACAAATCATTTGTATATATACTGTAAATAATACTTTGTATTAATTTCATAATGTATTTTATCTTTATATCAAATTTGAAATTTAAAGACAAAAAAAGTGGATTTACTTTTTCCTCTTTCAGTATCATAATACATACACTACAATACAATTTTTTATTATTAATGTCTCACCTTTAACAAACAATTACAAAACATATTGATTAAAACAAATTACAAATATGTAAAAGCCATTCATATAGAATTATGAGATTAAAGCATTATTGTTTAAATTTTGTGAAATTTTCTGTGAATTAAAGGAACATTAATATATGTGTAACAGAACAAAGAGTCTTTTTCTGAAGATGTATTTTTTCTCTGTTTAAAAGAAACCGAGAATGGATTGGAACTTATACAAATTTAACTGGTGATGGATGGTTTAGAAAATCTTTCTCCATACAGTTCAGTACAGGAGGTATTTTCCGACTCAACATCCTGTCCATGTCAAGCCCTCTTAGTGATATATAACCAAAACCTCCTGTCCATGGACAGCCCTCTGACATCTAACCACTGGTTCTGTAAAAATATTAAAAAATAATCTGGACTACTTTTCAAAGGTTTTGTGATTTCAATTCTTATGATTGACAAAAGGTTCTACCAACTCTGAGCACACTCTCACCATGTTCATGTGTAAATGACTTTATTCACTTAAAATGTAGTGCATATTGATTTTTTGTCTTCCCTGATTGAAACTTGTTGAAGTGCAAACAAACAAATCTTATAAAGTTCAATATAATAGTTACACCATAATTTTGAAGAATTAGCTACACAACCACACGTATACGTGAAATGAATTGATGACATTCTGAAAATCATTATAATTTCATTGGTCATCATTCTGCCAAAAAAAGAACTGTCTGTCTCACAGCAAGTAATTTTCTGTCACATAATTATAGACATTTGCAACTAACAAGAGTTGTTCCTAAAAACATGTCCTGGAATATCAACAATTATTTCTTGTTATAATAAAACACATAGATGAACTTAAAAAGCAATGTTTATACTCATTCACTAAAATAAATGAAATTTTAAAGCCTGTGGCTTTGGAAGTCCTCTTTGTAGTTCTCAGTTTGCCATAGCATACCAATTTATATTTATAACAGTTCAATAGTTGTGCCTTTATTTCTTGTTCATGCAATAAATCATAAACCTTAATTAACGATAAAATGTAAAAGACTAAAAATTCAAATATAGAAGATCCAGGCACAAATATGAAGGTCTAGATAGGGTCCTTCAACTCTGTATTCTTTAATTTTTCAGCCATTTTCTCTATTCTATATAAGTTTTGCCTATTATTCTGCTTTCTTTATATTTTAGCACCCCTTTATTCTCTATTCTTTTTGGCCAATTTTTCTCTATTCTTTATTTTTTGGCCAATTTTTCAGTAGTATTGGTCCATTATTTTCTATTCTAAAAACCCAATCCAGACCCTCAAATATCTTACCACAAACAAGGTTATCCCTCTATACACAAACCATTTCCAAACAAAATTAATACTTCTAATATCAACTGATTAATACAAAACTTATATACATATACATATGAATGCATCTATGATAATCAATGTTTTTCTAATTTGCTTGACGGTTTTATATTGAGCAGAAATAAAAAAAAAGTTCAGAAATTTCTACATTTCATTGTTGGTCTGATTTAAAAAATGCAAAATTTTATTTTATTGATTTTGAAACAAATAAATTATTCAAATTTGTTTAAGATATTTCTTAATCAAACATTAGATATTTTGGGTTTTATGTAAATTTGATGTTAACTGCAAAAAAAGTAAGTTTATCTATCAGTAAAATATGGAAATATTAAAAAAATATTTACAAATTTTGCTCTGGATACTGTGAGAGGTTTAGCTAGCTTTAAAACCAGGTTTAATCCACCATTTTCTATGTAAGGAAATGTCTGTACCAAGCCAGGAATATGACAGTTGTTTTCTATTTGTTTGATGTGTTTGAGCTTTTGATTTTGCCATTTGATAAAGGACTCTCTGTTTTGAATTTTTGTAGTAGTTCTGTATTTTTGTTATTTTACTTTTCATCTTAAAAAAGCTTCTGTCCAAGTTTAGCAAAATTCCATAAAGGTTTGACAAAGTAATTGATGTCTGCAATAATTTAATCTTAGACTGTATCTTATTACAACTATTTTACAAATTTTGTTGTGGATACTGTTATTTTTTTATCATAAAAAAACTGGCGTCCAAGTTTAATAAAATTTCATAAAGGTTTGAAAAAAAAATATTGATGTAAACAAAAAATTGAACCACAGACTGAATCTAAATGTTTAACTGCTTACACTGGAATGCAGAATCCTGTCTCGAGTGCTGCCTCAACAAAAAACATGCTTATCCCTAACAAAACTAGAAGCAAAAGGAAAATAATTATGAACAAATTTCTTGCAAATATAATGATTTTTTTCTATGTCTTCAAGGCACAGAAAATAAAAATTTGTATATAGAATTGGTAAAGGAACATTTTTCCAATACTACACTAAAAAGACATACACATTAGCTCTGATTATGTGTTTGTGTTACGTGTTCGGTTCACTGAAGTCTGATTCGCTTAAGCTTGCTGAGCCATTCATTATTTCTTCCACATTAACTTCCCCATTTACAGGCTGGAGGACTAAACTATTTTTTAGTCTTTTTTCTATCTTGAATACATTCTCCTTTGTACCCTTGAATCTATCAATTCTGAAAATACAATAAAAAAAGGAGTAAATATATGAAAATATTTTAAGTATGAAAGTCATTACAATAGCTCACTATTAACCACACAATTACCAAAGTGACCTATTGTTTTCAGGGTGGTTATATGGGGTTAACCTTTATTTTGTGGGGAGATGAGGGCAATTGTCTGCCTTGTTCTGTGCTTCTTGAGTATACATATATTTATGTAAAACACCAACCTAACAACAGACAAAAATTTTCAGGACAAGCTACATTTATTCACTGTCTTAAAAAAGTCTAACCATGCATGGTCATGATTGTCAAGAACAGTAATGTAAAGAAAAATATGCAATCCACCATTTCCTACATAAGGAAATGCCTGTACCTAGTCAGGAATATGACAGTTTTTTTCCCATTCCTTTGATGTGTTTGAGCTTTTGACTTTGTCATTTGATAAGGGACTTTCCATTTTGAATTTTCCTTGGAGTTCGGTATTTTCGTTATTTTATCTTTTATGCAACATTAAAACTTGTCAGTTCTAAATAACTTTTTAATATCAAACTGTCATTAATTCACATTAATTAATAGGTTCTGATGTTGAATAACTCATCTTTGCATAATTAATAGATAATTGAATAATTAAGGATTTTGAGATTCCGTTATATTAGCATGATTAGGGACTCAAAGAGATAGGAAAAAGAAAAATGTTCATCTAGCAAAGTGAGAAAATTCCCTCTTAATAAAATTGTCCTCATTAAAATATATTTTTCCTTTCGAAAAAAACATAAATTAATAAAATTCACCAGTCCTGTGAGAAAAATACTTTTTGTTTTGCTGGTCCTAAAACATTATGCCTCTCTACTATTGTAGGTAGGACATAAAATATCTATCATTCAATTAAACACAATAGAAATTTTTTAATGTTTTAATGTTATCTGGGAATTACTGGTGAAAATTATAACAACACACTTTGTTACAAAAATAGATAATGAACTTGCAATGGTATTATAGATGCTGTTATGTGATAATATATATATCTATCTATTTCATGTACTAAAAGCTTGCATTATGTGACTAGGATATTTACAGGGCATTCTTTATAAACATACCAGGTAAAATTTTCATTCAGGTAAAATCAATTTAAGCGTCAATGAGTATTGTTCACCTGACTTTTGTAGAAATTGACATGTTAAGAATAAATGTGTCAAAGCTACAACAACAAATTATTCTAACCAAGTTTGGTTCAATATGTTCAAGCCATTAACTATTTGCAGAGGGGATCCATGATCAGAAGTAAAATAATTTGCAATTGTGATAGCCATCTCAGAATTCAAGACACTTTGGAAATATACTACCTTAGGATTATTCCTATCAAGACCAAGACCAAGGATGAAAAGTCAGTCATTAAAATCAGGCTAACCTGGCCTAGTTCAGAATTATTTAATTGAATTTTTTTGACAAATAAATGGGGAATGTGTCCATGGGACACAGATGATGCCCCCGCTTGCACATAACGTTATAAAGGGACATAACGCAAGAATGGTAAAAGTGACGCCACCCATATTTGTACATGATCTGAGTTTTGTGGTAATAAGCATTGTGTATAAGTTTCATAACATTTGGTTGAGGCAAACTTTAGTTAGAGAACTGAAAGGGCATAACTCTAGAACGGTAAAAGTGACACCACGAAAATCAAACTTGATCTGTGTTTATTGGGTAATAAGCATTATGCATAAGTTTCATTGGTTGAGGCAAACTAAAGTAAGAGAACTGAAACGAAAAATTCAGCAATTTTTCCATTTGTAAAGGGGCATAATTCTAGAATGGTAAAAATGACGCCACCAAAAGTCAAACTTGATCTGTGTTTTGTGGTATTTAAATAAGCATTGTGTATAAGTTTCATGACACTTGGTTTAGGCAAACTAAAGTTAGAGAATGGAAACGAAAAATTCAGCAATTTTTCCATTTGTAATGAGCATAACTCTAGAACAGTAAAAGTGACGCCACCAAAATTCAAATTTGATCTGTGTTTTGTGGTAATAAGCATTGTGTATAAGTTTCATAACATTTGCAGAGGCAAACTAAAGTTAGAGAACAGAAACGAAAAATTCAGCAATTTTTCCATTTGTAAAAGTGAATAACTCTAGAACAGTTAAAGTGACGCTACCAAAATTCAAATTTGATCTGTGGTTTGTGGTAATAAGCATTGTGTATAAGTTTCATAACATTTGGTTGAGGCAAACTAAAGTTAGAGAACGGAAACCATTTTTGGGACATACGGACGTACAAATGGACAAGGGTAAAACTTAATGCCCCCTCCGCTACGGCGGGTGTATAAAAAATGCATGCTGATTTTTACAGGTCACCAAAAGTTGGACTGCAGGTTTAAAGCTAGCCTTTTATTTTATATTTTTTATTTATATGAATGTATTTTGACTTTCCCTGTCATGCCTGTATCACATTAATCATTTCTTTGTTCTGAATTTGATCTTAAACTTGCTCCTGACTAATCTATATAATTCAAAGAAATATTTTTATGGCAAAAATGCAAGCAAATGTAATTTTATGAATAAGGGTCCAACTATTAGCATTAAAAAAGCATGGAATTAAGACATTGCAATCTCAGATTCTATAATCTATGGAATTTTTATTTTATATTTGTTAAAGTGTAGCCTCCACAAATCAAAACAAATAAGATTTTTTTTTGTAAATGAGGTTAAAAGTGTCACTTTTTATTCCTTGTGCTTAGGTGCACATTTGTTAAATTGATGCAAATCATCAAGTCATTTTTTTCTTCTAATAGACATCTTTAAATAGTTGGCTTGGAGTGTGTGTCATTTATGTCGAGTCTGCGACTTTTGTCGCAAAAGCGAGACATAGAGATCCTATGTTCCGTCGGCAGCAGCGGCGGCGTCCACAAATATTCACTCTGTGGTTAAAGTTTTCAAAATTTTAATAACTTTCTTAAACTATCCTGGATTTCTACCAAACTTGGACAGAAGCTTGTTTATGCTCATAAAATAGTATCCAGAAGTAAATTTTGTAAAAAAAAAAAAATCCTGTTTATCCGTATTTTACTTTATTATTATTATAAATGGACTTAGTTTTTCTGCCAGTTAACATTACATTCACTCTGTGGTTAAAGTTTTAAAAATTTTAATAACTTTCTTAAACTATCCTGGATTTGTACCAAACTTGGATAGAAGCTTGTTTATGATCAAAAGCTAGTATCTAGAAGGAAATTTTGTAAAAATTTATTTCCTGTTTTTCCGTATATTACTTATAAATGGACTTAGTTTTCTTCCAGTTAACATTACATACAGTCTGCAGTTAAAGTTTTTAAAACATTTATTAGATTCATAAACCATTTCATTAACTGTAAATCTATTATGTGCATTCCCCTATCACACTGAAAACATAGACAACAGCAAAAGTAGGTGAGACACTGGGTTCTGCAGAACCCTTAAGAATTTTTAGGATTCATTAACAGTTTTTTTTTTAATAAATTCATAATGAACATCCTTAAATTGATTGGTTTTAATCAGCCTAATGGTTTCAGAGAAGAAGATTTTTAAATGACAATAACTAATGTAAATGCAATAATTCACATTAGCACTCAGGGCCAGTTAAGCTAAACCTTTGGGCCAGGTGAGCTAAAAAAAACGATTTACATGTATTAATACAAGTTAAATAAAAAAAGTGCAAATAAGTCAATATACTCATAAATATATTAATATGCATAAACCAAATATGCAATAAAAAGCAAATAAATTAGTCAAATCATAAAAATCTAAGACAATTTGCACACAAGTTACCCAATTATTTGTTTATCATCACTAATGATCCACAATTCTGATAGGTCCTCATGCACCATCCATCTGTAATTGAAGTGTCATTATTAACTGATTAAAGCCTTACCTTACTGGAGCAGATACTAAGTAATGTTTACCACATGTGGAGCAGGATCTGCTAACCCTTCCAGAGCACTCTAAGATCATCCCTGGTTTTTGGTGAGGTTCGTGTTGCTCAGTCTTTAGTTTTCTATGTTGTGTTTTGTGTACTGTTGTTTGACTTTTCGTTGTTTTTTTTTGTTTTCTGCCATGGCATTGTCAGTTTGTTTTCAACTTATGAGTTTGAATATCCCTTTGGTATCTTTCACCAGTTTTTGGGCATGACAATTTTTTAAATTACAACAAGAATATGTATCTATAGGACACCATGCCATGATCACACATTCAAACTACCATGTTCAGTGAACTATAAAACCTGGTCCAAATCCTTATTTGGCATATATTTTTAAAAGTTCACATCATAATAAAAATATGTACTATATGTAATGTTACTTCATGGTAAACCTCCTCAAAAGTTTGAGAAGTAAAAAAAAAACAATGCAGGAGTTTTATCATACCAAAACTTACATCTGACATCTATATCATGCTAGAACAAAACACTTGCCACTGATAAAGCAGATGAAAATTAAGAGCACAAGAGTATATCCATGAGAAACAACATTTAGTTGAAACAAATAACAAAGGTATGAGATTATATTTGTCCAATCCTTATATTGTTAAACTGATTGATTCATATATGTATAATAACCAGCAGATAATATAACATGCACTTTCAAGATGATAACATGTTAATATCTTTAGAATAACTAATCGAAGAATTCAATTATAGAAAAATATTCAATGAGTGACCAAACAGCATCATCGATGTCTTAATCTTACCTGTCATAAATAATTCCATCTACACCTGACTGTCTCAGTTGATTTATCACATTAGAATCGTTGTTACCTTCTCCCCAACAAAACAAGACTTGTCCAGATTTCTTGATGTCTTTTATCAATTCAGGATGTTTCAGTATAAACTTTGAATCAATATCTATACCCTGCATAATCAAAGCACAAAAAATTAGAATTTATTTAAAAATAAGGAGATGTGGTTACATTGCTATTGAGACAACTATCAACAAGAAACGATAGAATGAAGATGTAATAAAAGAACAGAGTTCCAATGTTCCCCCGTTGCACATATTTTATCTATCCAAGGTACAAGGACAATAACTAAAAAAAGTACTTTTTTTTTGTTCTTTGATAATTTTTATCAATATCTTAGACAAGAGTGCACACGCTGAAATGTCTCGCCTTCTTTACTAATCATTGATATTATGTTGATAGTCCTAAATATAAAGCTTTATTACAACTGTCACATAAACTTAACATTAACCAAGTAAACTAAACATTGACCAATGAACCATGAAAATGAGGTCAAGGTCAGATGAACCATGCTAGGCAGGCATGTACAGCTAACAATTCTTCCATACAACAAATATGGTTGACTTATTGCTTATAGTTTAAAACAGACCAAAACACAAAAACTTAACACTGAGCAATGAACCTTGAAAATGAGGTCAAGGTAAAAAAAAACCTGCATGACTGGCAAATAGATCATAAAATATTTCCATACACCAAATATAGTTGAACTATTGCATATAGCAGTGTTCCAGCTAGCATGAAATGGAGGGGCGCCGCGCCCCGCCCCCGAAATTTTGCGCCCCTCTGCCTTTTTTAAGCGCCCCTGCGCCCCTCTGTGCCCTTTTGAAAAAAGTTTAGACAACGATCTTTTTTCCTCATATTGTCGCCATTTTGTTGAGTTCTCTATACACACACTTCATTAAGACAACAGATTAAAATTGTTAACACTTGTTACCTGTATATAATCACCTATTTGATTAGAGTCAATTACTTAATCAGGTGAAATTTACGACCCTGTCTAATCCCTTTGCCCTGAAGCACCAAACATCCAAGTTAAATGAATTGATTTTTTAACACCTGACGATGCAAAATAGAATTTATAAAATAAAAGTGAACGATGTTCATTTCTATTGTAATTGTTATTTATAAAATAACGTTCATTAAAAAAGAATCATTCCAATAGTATATTGTAAATCGTCAACACGCAAAATGCCGACGAAAAAAAGAAAAATTGACCAACTCGAAAATGACAAGAAGAAAATATCAAAGACATGCCAGTCTATTACATCTTTTTTTCAAGAATAATGACCATCAAAGGTTAAAAAATAATTTAATTCTTTACCTTTATGAAAAATCGAGAAGAAGAAAGGTTTTCTATCAGATATGGCAATTGTTCTTCTATTGTAAATTCCGCCAATTACGGAGCACTCGAAAGTCCTATTTTTATATCATTTTTCTTAAATTGAAATCCGTTTTGACTAACTTTAATATTGATATTATGAGATACGCTCAACATGAAATATACGGATATGCATGTTGAATTGATAATAAACTTTCAAAGTCGAATTAATTTATTATTGTGCCGATGACGGAGCTCTCGAAAGTCCGATTTTTGTATCAATTTTCTTATTGAAATCCGTTTTGACAAACTTATTGATATTATTAGATACGCTCAACATGAAATTTACGGAGATGCTTGTTGAATTGATAATAAACTTTCAAAGTTGAATTAACAAACTTATTTGTTGAATCAATCTATTTCTCAAGATCGAAATAAAGACAATTGTCTCATTGGCACTCTTATTTAAATTCACAACCAAACCTACACAATTTTCAATGTATGTAATAGTATAGAGTATTTAACTTAGCTACATGCTTGCTAAAAATATGTCATTATGTGGTAATATTAAGTATTTGATTTTTTTCAGGAGAACGCGCTAAAGTGCCCTTTTTTAAAAACGCGCCCCTCTATTTTCAAATCCTAGCTGGAACACTGTATAGTATTAGAAAAAAAGACCAAAACTCAAAAACTTAACTTTGACCACTGAACCATGAAAATGAGGTCAAGGTCAGATGACACCTGCCAGCTAGACATGTACACCTTACAATCATTCCATACACAAAATATAGTAGACCTATTGCATACAGTATAAGAAAAACAGACCAAAACACAAAAACTTAACTATAACCACTGAACCATGAAAATGAGGTCAAGGTCAGATGACACCTGCCAGTTGGACATGCACACCTTATAGTCCTTCCATACACCGAATATACTAGACCTATTGCTTATAGTATCTGAGATATGGACTTGACCACCAAAACTTAACCTTGTTCACTGATCCATGAAATGAGGTCGAGGTCAAGGGAAAACTGTCTGACGGGCATGAGGACCTTGCAAGGTACGCACATACCAAATATAGTTATCCTATTACTTATAATAAGAGAGAATTTAACATTACAAAAAATCTTAACTTTTTTTTCAAGTAGTCACTGAACCATGAAAATCAGGTCAAGGACATTGGACATGTGACTGACGGAAACTTCGTAACATGAAGCATCCAGTCCTTCCACCTTCTAAAATATAAAGCTTTTAAGAAGTTAGCTTACACCGCCGCCGCCTCACTATCCCTATGTCAAGCTTTCTGCGACAAAAGTCGCAGGCTCGACAAAAAATGAAGACTTCAGAGCAAATGCAATGTGATTTCCATTATAATTAATATTTTCATGAGGCATAACTTGTTAAAATATTTGATCAGCACTTATTTTCGAAAGTGTCAAAGACATTGCTGATATAAACCTATCAGTGTTCTCCCCAGGATTTTTGGATAGCACCAGGGTAACGCGTGTGAACAGCTTGGTGAAATGATTCATACAATCAGTTGTGTCACGTGGCGTCGCTATATTTCTAGTTACTGCAGTTTTTATGTCTCTTGTTTTGTTTTAATACTGTGGTACTGTGTTATGTCAGAATATTATTGGTTAAAAAGATCAATAAACAGTTTGTATACTTTTAATATTTTTTAAAAATAAATAAAACATGATTCATTACATAATATTCATCCAGGAACATATATATTGTTAGATATACTGTTCCCAGATTCATCTAAATTTAAAGTAATTAAATCTTTTATAAAATCCATGATCAATAAAAATAAAATATCATCCAAACAGGAACATATATATTGTTAGATATACTGTTCCCAGATTCAAAAGAGAACAAAAATGTTCAATTTAAAAAACTTTCTAGTTTCTAGTAAGAAAGTTGTTGTATGTGAAAGGATTCCTATCATAAGGAGATATAAAATTAACAAGAACAAAATTGTGTTATAATTTGAACCAGTTTCTATCTTAAATTTTAATAAAAAGAAATTTTTCATAAATTTTAAAACATTTTGCCATAGATTTCATGTACATGTAAATATTAACCTTTCTTGTCTTTGGTGATAATCAGACATAGATACAGACTTAATACTGCACTGAAATCTAAATCTTTATTTGTCATGATCCATTTAAAAAGAATTCCTAAATCTATAAATTTATCTTAGGTCTATAGATCTATAAGTAACCATATTCAATGTCAACAGTTTGGCTAGTTTGGCTATTCTGTAAATTCCGCCTCTGTCAGGCGCACCACCAACCGGTGTAACTTGGGACTTGCTATATACAGGGGCTCAATCACACCTTAACTACATGATTTATTTTGGGATTTCAATGTGAACTTTATATTTTATAACAAAGTCTCCTTATTTTCCCACCTAAATGACAGGAAATAGATATAAATAGATTTAACATGTGCTTATGGATTAAAATTGCAAGATCACTTCTGTTATTCATTAATGATCATATGGATATAGATATCCAGTTTGAAGGTACAGTCATGCATTTTATTTATAAAATAGAATAGATTGTAGTTAATTGTAAATAATCTTGAATATTCTACGTGAACTAACTGGGTCATGTGATCCTTCCCCTTTGAATTACTTGTTGACAGTTTGAAACCGGAATATCATGCAATAATTATGTCATAATTAAAGATAATTTTGGCCATGGTTTAATCAGAGACATATAAAACTATAATATAAGTATTGAGCTAACTTTATAATGTACAAAATATGTACCGTCGTTTGTACAACTATCGGGTCAACACGGTTTGTGTACAAAGTATTTGCCGACTTGTCAGGTGGTGAGTGAAGCCTTAAAATAGTTATCTTTGATCATAAAGTTATGATCTCTAAATTAAAACACAAAAGAATCATGTAAAAAGTGTTAATTACATCGATTAAATCCAATCAACAAAGGTTAACCTCATAAAGGTAAATCGATCATGTGGTGTAAACAATCCGTGTTAAACTGGTTTGAACTGGTCAAATTTCACCTGGAATTTTATTCCGCATGGAAAAGATTTAACAAGGTGTTTAAAACTTTACCGATTTACGATTTTTTTACTGAAAATTTTAGCACCACGGAGAAAAATTATACATCGCGGTAAGAACGATACCACCACGGTAAAAAATTATACATCGCGGGCCTGCGGTCCTTTAAGGGCCTAGGGAGAACACTGCCTATGATAAAGGTTTCATAAAATTCTGGCAATTCTGACAATGCAGTTTTCCAATATGATCAATATTTCCAAGGAGCATAACTCTTTTAAAAATAATTGATCAGCACTGATTTTTGAACTCGTCAAAGACATTGATGATATAAACCTATTAATATAAATTTCATAATAATCTGGCAAGAATTATACACATTAGCATAATTAGAGCGCTCATAAGGCAATTTTCCATATAATTAATGTTTCCAAGGGGCATAACTCTTTTAAAAATAATTGATCGGCACTGATTTTCGATCTTGTCCAAGACATTGCTTATATAAACCTATGATATAAGTTTCATAAAAATCTGACAAGGATTGTACACGTGAGAGCGCTAATAAGACCAGATGGATGGAAGAACATAAACTAAAAGTCATCTTTTTACAGAACCAACCATTTTGTTGGCAATACAAAATAGATTATTCCATTCTACAAAAACATGTATGAAGCTATAGTATTATTAATACTGGACACATAACTCACCATTACTAATACAGGACACATAACTCACCATTACTAATACTTGACACATAACTCATCATTACTAATACATGTAATACTTGACACATAACTCACCATTACTAAAAATTGACACTTAACCCACCATTACTAATACTTGACACATAACTCACCATTACTAATACTTGACACATAACTCACCAATAAATCTGCAAAGTTTACAAAGTTGATGCTCATTGAAGCTTTGCTGGCCCTAGGATCGGAGTAATCATTTGGGAGTAAAGATTCTCCTGATGTCAAAAATAAAACTGGATATTTATTCTGTTTTAATCTCAACCTAAACACAAAATAATAATAAAATGAATCAATGAAAATTTTACCATCTTCTTTTTCTTGAAACATTATCAATCATGTTTAATCCACATTCCTGAAAATTAAAACTTTGAATTAGAGATTGAAGACTGCACACATTCTTGTACTAAGCATACCCCAAATCATAATTCAAAGTATGGAGAACAGAAAGCAGGTGTCTGACAGATTTGAAAATCTCCCACACTTTATAACTAATCACTGCCAAGCTGCTGCTTAAATATGAATTCAATTTATTCAGTAGCACCAAAGAAATGTTTGTCAGAAAATTTGAAGTTCAATTAACATATTGAAAAATTATCAATTATCAGGGGAATGATGTCTTGACAGATCTGAAAAGTGTTAAACATTTGGACAGACAGACAAGGTGAATTCTATAGTGGAGGTATAAAACCTGATTTTTGAATACGCTTGTTATTCAGTGTGCACCACATTTTTGATGTTATTTCTTCATAGACAGAAAAACTATTACACTCATTCCTTAAATAAATATGATTGAAAACAAGTTATTTAAATAAACACGTTCATACATTTCTATTCTCCTTAGGACTAATCATTAAAACATACATGGCACCTAGTTGAAATTTTGTTAATCACCAAAAGAGGCAATCTTAGAATTTCACTGATATTTTCACTATACATTGTACACCCATCCTTAGTTGAGATTTCAAAGTGCCTTCACTGGGTCCCGTGTGTTTTAATGGAAGAGCCCTCCTGTCTGTAGTGACTATAAATCTTGTCTCTAGTCTGAAATACTTACAAAACACATGTGTCTGGATCAAAACTTGAGAAAACAATCCTTCGAGACTTAGCATTTTGAAACACACATCTCAAGATTGTGTCCACATATTTGTTTCTGTCAAAGAAGTTGATCTCCTCAAAAGTTCCATCCTAAAAAATAAAAATATTAAACCTTAAAATACAACATATTTCTTGATCGATTGATTGCTTAACATCCAATTGCAATTATTTCTTGCACATTCAGACCTATTAAAAGTTATAACAATTAATACAATAGACATGACAGATAGGTTCTACAAATTGAGACAGCAGGGATGAAAAGCAGGAAATTCCAACTGTCACTGGAAAACAATGTATGTTGGATAGGGGCAGAAATTTTGCATTGCAACAGCCAACTACGACCCCAAGACATAGAGTTGTTTCAGTGTTCTTTAACATGCACAGAGGAACCTGATGATCAGTAGTTGTTGTTTGTTGATGTGGTTCATAAGTGTTTCTCGTTTTTTATATAGATTAGACTGTTGGTTTTCCTGTTTGAATGGTTTTACACAAGTCATTTTTGGGGCCCTTTATAGCTTGCTGTTCGGTGTGAGCCAAGGCTCCGTGTCGAAGACTGTACTTTAACCTATAATGGTTTACTTTTACAAATTGTGACTTGGATGGAGAGTTGTCTCATTGGCACTCATACCACATCTTCTTATATCTATATAGAGAACATTAAAAGAACACCAATACATTAATGATACCTGACAACTTCTTAGAAGTATTTAGGAAATTCTCCATTCACCTGACTGACCTTCCATCTATTCCACTTGATATTTTTGACATGCTATCTTATACTGCTTGACCTATCAATTACCCTATAAAAGCTGTTATGTACCATTGGATACTTTTATCACATGGCTTATATTACTGTCACATGACTTTTGTTTAAGATATCTTACCAGCTGTTCCATTGGGTATTTTACTTCAACATTGAATCCTACATGCTCGTCTACAGCATCGAAACACCGTTCCAATGTAGGGAACGGCTGTAAATCAAATGGATCAAGTTGGTCTTCATATTTAGGATCTGCAATGAGACAAGAAATTACCATAAGTATTTTGTACTAATATGACTTAAGTTACAAAGCAATGATTCTAAATGTAAGATAAGTTTTGGTTGCAACAAAATATCCTCATTATAGTTGTCATCATATAAAACTGAACCTCATATTCAGAATAATATTTTGTGATCTTAGGTACTTGGTGTTAGTTATAAATGTAACATTGAATTTCTCAGTTTAAATTCTGGGGAACTTCTCGGGCCTATTATAGATTTTCGTTCTGGATGCAACAATTAATTATTAGGAATGTTCCGGTTCTGAAAAGGATGAGAGAGCAGTTAATTTACTCTCCCTAAACCAAAGCAAATGAATATTAAAACCCATGCAAAAAAACAAACAAACAAAATAGGTTTTGATTAAAATTAATAACATATATGAAGTCTTTAATGATAAAAAAAAACCTACAGAAAACAATTCAAGGAGCATTGAGGATAAGTATTACATGTCCAATTAATTAATTCCTTCTTTTTTTCCAACCCAAAATAATGTTACAATTTGCAGACTTATTTTATTTAACTTTTAAGGGATAAATTAATTGTTCTTTCATTCAATGCTGTTGATGCATTTATTTTTGTGTATATCAATTTTAATGGATTGAGGAAAAATCGTGTATTTATGGATATTTGATATTATGGGTTTTGTTAAAAGTCTGCATATAACCTATAGAAAATTGATACTTCCTTGAACATTTATATATTTGGTTTACCTTTAACCACAAAATCCACTAAAATCAGTACCCAATGAACAATAATGAATCCAAAGTATATCGTTGTAAGAACAATTAAATCCAATTTTTCAATAGTATTTATTTTCCATCAATATTTTGGCTACTGATGCCTTTTTACTTCATACAAGAAAGCTCGAGCTGAAATGTCTCGCCTACTTCACTGACCATTGATTTATGCTGAAAATCTTAATAATGGTTTACACACATAAAGTATCACATAAACTTAACATTTTTAAAGAACCATGACATTGAGGACAAGGTCAGATAAATCCTGTCAGACAGACCTATACACCTTACAGTTATTCCATACACCACATATAGTTGACCTATTGCTTATGGTAATTGAAAAACAGACCAAAGCACAAAAACTTAACATTGACCAATGAACCATGAAAATGAGGTCAAGGTCAGGTGATACCTGCAAAACAGACATGTACACTTTACAATTATTCCATACACAAAATATAGCTGACCTATTGCTATAAGTATTTGAAAAACAGACTAAAACATAGAAACTTAACATTGACCAATGAACAATGAAAATGAGGTCAAGGTCAGATGATACCTGTCAGACTGACATGTACCCCTAACAATCATTCCATACACCACATATAGTTGACCTACTTCTTATAGTATCTGAGAAATGGACTTTACCACATAACTTTAACCTTGATCACTGATCCATGAAATGAGGTCGAGGTCAGGTGAATCCTACCTGAGGTACATGTAGACGTTGCAAGGAACCCATACATCAAATACAGTTATTGTATTACTCATATTAAGTGAGTATTTCAAGCAGTCACTGAACCATGAAAATGAGGTCAAAGACCATGGGCATATGACAGACGAAAACTTTGTAACATAAGGTATCTGCATACAAGGTATGAAGCATTCAGGTCTTCTACCTTCTGAAATATAAAGAGTTAAAAAAATAGTTTACACCGTCACCACCAAATTGCAATCCCTATGTGTCACATACTGGGACGAAAAAAGTCGCAGGTGATATAAAAATGCATCTTCATTCTCAAAAAAATAACTGACTTTTCATACATATATTAAAAAAAAAATGATAACATTTGATGACCAAATATTTTTGTGAACAGATGTGATAATCCTCCTATACCTTAATTTCAAGTGTTTTTGGCCAAAGGTAATTGTTGAGATTAAGAGTGACAAAAGTTGATGGGATTTAAACAGTGTTAGCAAAGTGGTTGATTGTATCATGCATCTAGGGATTTGACAAGTTTGCATGCATGATAAGACTTGGAAAGGATTGTCCAGGAGTAAGGATTGACAAAGATAAATTGATTGCAAGCATGAACAGATTTATAAGGTGTACACATATGCAAATAAAAGGGCAAAAAAAAAAACAATTGGAAATTATCACTTGGAAAGTGTTGACCAAGATAATTTTTTGGCCAGCATGAAAAAGATTTATAAGGTGACACTATATGAAAATTAATAACACCTGGATGGGGTCATCATTTAAAACCTGAAACCAAATCCCTAAAGAGATATATCAATAAGCTTGAAATTAAGCTAAAGCAACCAGTTATTAGCAAGACAATTTCACTACAGAAAATGTTTTACTGTGGATTCATTTATTTTCGTGGGTACCAATTTTCGTGGACTGAAGAAAACTTGCATTTTCGTGGATATTTAATTTTGTGGTTTCGGCAAAGTCTGCATATTTCCTTTAGGAAATTTGTAATTCGTTGAACATTTAAATTCGTGGTTCCCCTGTACCCACCAAATCCACGAAAATTGGTATCAAACGAATATTAATGAATCCACAGTAAAACCAGCAAGAATCTCTCAAGAAAACACAGTTGAGTCTCCAAAGGAGGATGAGTGTTGTCATTGTCTCCAAATAATATAAGCAGAAATGAAGAGTCTATGTTTTGGTACAAGGAACCTCCATAATCAAACAGATTAAAATTTGAAATCGCAGGTGCATAATTTAATATCCTGCATGATAAAGCATCTGTGAAAGTTTGGTTGAATTTGTCGAGCTGTTTTCATAGAGCTGTGGATCAACAGAGCATGACATGGGCAAAGCCAGACGACAGAAGTGAACCCTATGTGTCGTCCAACCTGCACACTGTCATGTGACACATTTTCTCTATGTGTCGTCCCATCTGGACACAGTTAGGCAACACTTTATCCTTATGTATCTTCCCACCTGGACACTGTCAGGCAACACACTTACACTATGGGTTGTCCCACCTGGACACTGTCAGGCAACACATTTAATCAGAAAATATATGGTTAATTGAAAACAGGTGGTTGAATGTTGCAATCTTAAGACTAGAATAAGCTTGATTAAGGTAGGCTCCATCAAAAGAATGCCCATTACAGTCAATTCTAATAATTTCTTGTCTAAAGAGTCAATCCAACCAAGAAAAATAACATGCGAACATCTTACTATAAGAAAATCCTGATCTGTAAAACATGAAGCATGTATACCTGACCAATTTTCTGGTCTACCTGGGATATTCTAGCAGGTAACAGTGCTTACAATGTGGACTCTTTACACTGGAAAATACACTTGACCCTGGTATTATGAAAGCTATTAAAACCTTGACCCAGGTAAGCTGTGTCTAATCAGATAACATTAAAGATAAGCTATGCCCAAACTGGCTTTACTAAAGACATTAAAACATATAGGCAGTCAGGCTACACTATCATATGCCCAGTCAGCTCTTTTATATCTTGTGACAAAACCACAAGATATGAACAAAATATATATTGCTTCAGTATTTACTAATGTCCCTGTTTAGCTTTCCTTCTCTTAAGAAAATAAAAAAAAAAAAAAAAAAAAACTAAAGAAAAAAGAAGATAATAACATATATACATGATATAAAAAAAATAGATTTAAAAGATTCAATATTCAGAGGCTTTTTTTTTTAAATACAGAAACAATTAATTTTGTTATACTGTGGATTCATTACTATTCGTTGGATACCAATTTTCGTGGGATTCGTGGGTACAGGTGAACTACAAATTTAAATGTTCAATGAATTGCACGAAAAATTGATACCCACGAAAATAAATGAATCCACAGTATTTCTAAACATAAATCTAAAGATGGTTGAATTTATATTAACCTTGAATATATAAACATGATTGTTTTTGTGCGAACTTATTTACAAATATACATTTAAGCAAACAAGAGATGTGGCCATGGTCAAACTGGCTTTCATGAACAGAGTTCGAGGATGAAAGAGGAATGTGTGATCTCGGTTTCTATACACAGACATTTCAAATGTAATATGTGTCAACATCCAAATCAGCCTGTCGACAAATGTGCACCACTCACCAGAGTCATGGTCTTCCCTCTTATGTTCTGCTGACGACAACTAAAAAAGAGAACTGGGAATAGCATCTTCACATAAAAATCCCCCCTTTTTTCACTCATCTTAGATAAAATTGGAAGGATTTTGATCATTGCATTAAATCGTGAGATTAACCCAATTAACTATTATTTATGCATATAACATTACACAAGTAATTTATATTGTATATCAAAGACCTTGCCAAATTAGCTGTCCAAGTCGTGAATTTCACTTTAATACAAAGTGACAAAATCCTTCACAAGACATTGTACCAAATTTACTTGTTCGGTCAACATATACCTTCAATCTGTAATCCAATGAACAGCAATTTGTTATGAACATGGCATATTGTCAAAACGCACTGCTGTCATTTTTTCAAATAGTTCTATTGGATACTGTCAAATTAGTATTATTTATTTAAGTAAAAATGAACAAATGATATATTCTTTTAAATGAACAACAACTGCTACACTTAGTCTTTTTGTCAAAATTAAGATTTTCTTCCCTTTTAAAACTGAATCATTGCTTATGGATAAATAGGAGGGCACATGCTGAAATGTCTCACCAGCTTTACTTATCATGACTGAATTTTATGTTGAAAGTCTTTAAGATCTTACTACAGGTATCACATAAACTTAACACTATCAATGAATCCTCATGAAAACAAGGTCAAGGTCAGGTGAACCCTGCCTGACAGACATCTACACCTTACCATCATCCCATACATCAAATACAGTTGATCTATTGCCTATTGCTTCAAGTATTTGAGAAAGGGACCTTATCACTAAAATGAGGTCAATATCATTGAACCTTGCCTGATGTACATGTGTGCACCTTACACCAAATATAGTTGATTTATTGCTTATAGTATCTGAGAAACAGACCTTGCCACAAAAACCTTATGTTGATCACTTATACATGAAATGAGGCCCAGGTCAAGTGAACTTTGTCTGACGGACATGTTAACCTTGCAATTATTCTGCATGCCAAATATAGTTATTCTATCACTCATTATAACTGAAAAATAATGTTTTTCAAATTGACAAGAAACTCTTGACAGGAAAAATAATGGAAATGACTGAAGATAACACACAAGAGACTATAATAGCTACAACTGTAAAATTTCAGAAAATAAAATTGGAATCAGATCACTTTTACAAAATAAAGGATCATTTGACAACTTACATGACTTAGTTTATTGTACCTTGTGGCATCCTCTTCCAGCATTTCCGTCATTCTGATTGACTGGCCCACTGTTGCCATATACAATTATAACCTTAAGCTTGGAAACTTACACCCAACAAGATTTAATATTTTTCTGTCCTTATTTGAAACTAATTTTCTGCTAATAATGGTTTCCTTTTAATTAAAGTAATCAAAAATATCTATATGACTATTAATAACTCTATGTGTTTTGTCAAAAATATAATTTTTTTCTTTAGAAAATTCAATTTATAAATAAATACATGTACTTTATCATAACCAAATATTTCCATGTAGGATGTGCTAGCTTCTATTCCAAAGAAGTCTATTAAAGCAACATGTTATGCTTTAGAGATTTTGACTTCAGTCTGGGATAAAAAGTGGATTTTGAGACCAAGAATAGAAGAGTTCTTGATTTTTCTGTAAAGTGAAAATACGAACCTGCATTGAATGTAGGTCAGCTAAAGACAAATCTTTTACAGATATCTTAAAGTTTTCCAGTTCATCTCTCTTTTTCTGAAAAAAAAATCAATAAAAACAAAATAAATCAATAGGTTCATAAGTACAAGTTGAGGCTTTGTTTCTTGCATAAGGCAAAAGTTCATCTGGCATTAAATATATATCATTTGTGTTTCTTCTATAATGCCACTTGATGGCTCAAAAAGTTGATATTGATAAAATTAGATTTGATTTGATTTATACAGTGGTCCTTTATTATTACTGTCTTTTAAGTCTTTATATCATGGATTTTAAGATTGGCAGGAATTTCCTAACCTCAATTGTTCAGTGGTGACCTTTGCAGGTCACACCTTGCAGCTAGATCAAAATGACCCTTAGCATAGAATTAAGTGGTGCTGTGTGTATTGTGAAGGTTGTAGCTAGTACTTCACTTTGATTGATAAGACGTGTGTTTCATACAAATTGTTTTGATGTAATGACTAGTTGCACACAAGGCAATGTTAGGTGTACAAAGGCGTTACGTAAACAATAGGTAACATTATTGACATTAGTTACATAGTTAATAGCAGCAAATCCTTGACACTATGATAACTGCAAAATATGTTTAAAGGGGGAAAATCTTATGAGTTGGTAAAAGCATATCGATTCTATTAATCTTTGTCTGAAGAAGAATTTCACAAATACAACAGGAACAAAAATCAAGATCTGCTGGTTTGCTTTTCAATTACAAAATACATATACTGTGGATTAATTATTATTCGTTTGGATACCAATTTTCGTGGATTTCGTGGGTTCAGGTAAGCCATGAATTTAAATATTTAGCGGATTACAAATTTTTCATCAGGTTGTATGCAGACTTGGGCAAAACCACGAAATTAAATGTCCATGAAAATACAAGTTTTCATCAATCCACGAAAATTGATACCCAAGAAAGAGGGGCCTGATGGGGGTCTCATCACGAGTTGATTTTTTTGTCAATCACGATTCACAGAAAATAAATTTCCATGATCTGGATCACGAAAAAATTAAAAAAAAAAAATCTGTAGAAAAACAGATCACGATAGCGAAAATGCGCCGATCACGAAGAACGAAAATAACCCATCAGGCCCCTCAAGAAAATAAATGAGTTCACAGTAGATGATGCATTCCTTTTAGCACTGTGTATATAATAAATATCCTACCTTTCTATATGTAATAAGAACATGGAAGTCATGATAAATAACTGGTATCAGGTCTTTACTTAACATAACGTCAAACTCAACAAAGTCAGCACCCTATAATATAAATCAAAACATAAATCTACATGCGTTTAAGGTTAGCTGTTATCATGACTCTGACCCAAACCATTTTGTGAAGTCTTTATCACTAAAATCAATGTGGGTTAGTAGTAAGGGTTTTTGCCAAATAAAAGGAAAAATCATTTTTTACGCCAACATAAAATTTCCAATTAAGAAAATATATAAAAAAATGTTGAAGCAAACAAACAAACAAAAAATAAGTGTGTTAGGCTAGTAAAAATAGATTTTTGTTGCAATTTGAATTTGCAAATAATTCATTCATTTTTTAGTAAAGATGTGGGTAACAGGTTTTTTGTGATGACTAAGACAGGAAACCTTTTCTCCAAAAAAGAATGTAAAGACTTTATATCTTATACAACTAAAATTAAGTTCATTTTCAATCTTTTTTTTTTCTTCTTTTAATAGAACTGAGACCTTGAAGACTTATGGATTATTAACATCGGCAGTGGAGCTGCAGACATTTTTTAGTTTAAATAAACTGCTTCGCCGAGTGCAGCTGGATACGACCGCAGAAGTCCAGCCCTGAACCATTGGGACAAAAATGGACACAATATTCAAGCTTGATACAGGTCTGAATTTGGATTGTAATTTAATATTTGACACATTATAGGTTTCTGACACAGTATAAATGTAGTCAAAGAACTTGAAATTGGTTGTATGATTTGAATTTATATTCAATTGAAGATTTCTTACTATTGTGCAATACACTGTGCTGTTGCGCAATACTTAGTAAATCTGTTTTCAGACTATATACAAAGAATTAGCCCCAATTTTGAGGAAAAAAAATTGGCCCCCCTCCTAAACGGTTGAAACCATCACCCCCATGAACAATCCCAACCTTACTTTTGTGGTATTGAACCTTTTGGTTAAAATTCATAGAGATCCATACACTTAAACTAAAGTTATTGTCCAGAAACCAAATGTCTTGGATGACGCTGACGCTGCCGACGTGATACTTATATACGACCGCAAAAAATTTTGCGGTTGTATAAAAAGTTGTAATTATTATAGGGAAATTTCCTTGCAAATATCGAACTACAGAAAATGTACATGCAGGTCTAGAATATACTAACATAGTAAACTTACATGACTGCCTGCTGATTGTAAGGATGTTATAGTATTTTCTCTGATGGCATCTGATCTGTAATAGCAAACAGGTAATTTAAGATTTTCAATATAGTCTCATAAAAAGTAAAATTTTGGTATTCAAATTAATGAAGGGATGTTTAATTTAAAGGGACAATCTATCAACTATATTTAGGATAAGAACATGTTTTAAAATATAAATATAATACCCACTTTTTACTAGACTGAACATCATGCCTGATTTTTAATGTGCTACTTAACAAGGTAACAGTCCACAGGTAATTTTAGGTCATTAAAACCATTTCAGTGTTAAACTTCTGCCCTCCACAAATATTATTCAACATTTTACAAAATCAGGTACAAAACTTCTTGTTGTTGATGTTGTAAAACGTCAATACCCGTTTGTGACTTCTGATTGGAGTTTGACAGTGAGAAAAACATGAAAAATGATTCACATTTTTTAAATCCTAACAAATAAATGTTGAATGTGTCCATGGGACACAGATGATGCCCCGCTTGAATATAACGTTATAAAGGGATATAACTCAAAGTGACGCTTCCCAAATTTGTACTTGATCTGAGTTATGTGGTAATAAGCATTGTGCATAAGTTTCATAACATTTGGTTGAGGCAAACTAAAGTTAGAGAACAGAAACAAATATTTCAGGAATTTTTCCATTTGTAAAGGGGCATAACTCTAGAACGGTAAAAGTGACACCACCAAAATTCAAACTTGACCTGTGTTTTTTGGTAATAAAATAAGCACTGTGAATAAGTTTCATAACATTTGGTTGAGGCATAATAAAGTTAGAGAAAGGAAACGAAAAAATCAGCAATTTTTCCATTTTTAAAGGGGCATAACTCTATAATAGTAAAGTGATGCAACCAAAATTCAAACTTGACCTGTTTTGTGGTAATAAGCATTGTGTATAAGTTTCATAACATTTGGTTGAGGCAAACTAAAGTTAGAGAAAGGAAACGAAAAATTCAGCAATTTTTCCATTTGTAAAGGGGCATAACTCTATAATAGTAAAGTGATGCCACCAAAATTCAAACTTGACCTGTTTTTTGGTAATAAGCATTGTGTATAAGTTTCATAATATTTGGTTGAGGCAAACTAAAGTTAGAGAAAGGAAATGAAAAATTCAGCAATTTTTCCATTTGTAAAGGGCATAACTCTACAATAGTAAAGTGATGCCACCAAAATTCAAACTTGATCTGTGTTTTGTGGTAATAAGCATTGTGTATAAGTTTCATAACATTTGGTTAAGGCAAACTAAAGTCAGAGAACGGAAACCAATTTTGGGACATACAGAAGGACAAGGGTAAAACTTAATGCCCCCTCCGCTACGGCGGAGGCATAAAAAGTAAATAGCGTGAGAATATCTCAGGAACCTGCTGACAGGAAAAAGACTCTCACTATAACAGGACAGCTGAATTATGGTCATCCATCACTAAGAGGAGCCAGGCTTGATATTGGAATTGTTACAAATGATAATTAATGAAAATATAGATTATTCTATAATGAAATTAATAAACAAACAATGTATCAGTCTATTCACTTTTCCTCCCTATGAGATGGAAGAATGAAATAATTTCGATCACAATGCACTCGGTTTTGTCTTGCAGAAGTTCCTTCATGATAATTTTCATTCATGGAGATCCCTGGAGGTGTGCAAGATTTAAGTGTTCAATTGTGTGATCTTAATCCAAGCACAATTTTCCAATTGATAAATACATCTTATTCATGTCAGAATTTATCGTAATAAAATTACTTTTTATGCTTATATGATGAGCCCATTCCCTTGTGTCCTATATCTAGCGCAGCTCTTTCAAACTTCCAGTAATTTTGGTAAGATACCTCCATTGTCATAGGCAGACCAACCAGTGGTTTAATAAATAAGTAATCCACTACAAATGATTAAACATGCAAAAAAGATTATACAAAATATAAATATATGTGGATGCATTATTTTTTGTATGGTACTAGTTTTCATGGATTTTTTTTTATAGATATAGGTGAACCACTTATTGAAGGTCACATGAAACAGGTTTCTTGTAGCTATATTAAGGAAATTATTGAACCAATACATGAATATATACTAAATTAAGTCCTCTATGCAAGTTTTTTTACATTTACATGTATTAATGAATATATCATGTATATAATCCCAAAACATTTTCATGCAGTGATTGTTGATCTAAACTTTAGACTGCTGATTAATTTTTGGGTATTGCTGCTGAAGTTTACCAATTGTGACCTTGATAAACAATCAACACAGAAACAAGGAGCAAACATTTTGACTGCTAATTAACTTTGAGTATTGCTGCTGAAGTTTACCAATTGTGACCTTGATAAATAGTCAACACAGAATCAAAGAGCACATGAAAAGTAAGTGAAATAATAGAGCTATGTTTATCTTTTTTATATTGTCCATGCGTTTGTTAATTTAAAATTTGTTATAAAATTTATAAAATGATTTTTTTTATCTTTTCTTTTCATCCCGAATTTTCCCTTGTACCTATGTTGTGCAGTTGCTGAAGTTCTGACAAGAGGTCTTTCAGTTAAAGTCATTGCATATGAAAAGCTGTCAGTGAATTAGAGTAATGGAAGACAATAACTCAATCATTTTGTCAACAGCTGTACATTTTTGAAGATTTGGATAAGATAAAGGATTTTCTTTCAAAGAGAAAGTCTATGTACATGTGTTTTAGAGTAAAACTTAGCTATTTAATGAATGGCTATTATTTATTTTGAAATTATTGAACCATAAAATTAATTTTTGACTCTTCACATTGAATAATTCGCGAAGCAGATTATGTAAAATGTGAAGAGTCAAAAATTAATTTTATGGTTCAATAAATTCAAAATAAATAATTGCCATTCATTATAAATAAATTTCTATCAAAAATAAGGCTCAAAGAGCTTTTTATATTATTTATATTAACAATAACCATGTACACACATGTTGGCGTATGAATACACAACGGCAGAGTGGGTGTGTCGCCATAAAAATTGACAACATTGAAAATAAAGGTAATACTTTTAACCAATCAGAAGACAGTAAATACACCAAATTTATTTATTCACATATATAAAACATATTCAACTTTTTTTTTTAAATTAAAGTATCACATGACTTTAAACGAACAACAAAATACACATTTTTTGTATGTAAAATTAGTTAAAACAATGAAATATACATATAAACGAAATATTTCATTTTTTCCTAAATCAGCCAAAAACAAAATTAATCCACAGTGGTCATAAAAATTACTGTCAGAACATAAGTATCACAATACTGTATATATACATTAATAGAGAAACATTTAATTTCATAGTGGTTAAATTTCTTAGATCTTCTTAGGTGTATTAAATGGAGATAAGGACAGAAATGCCTAAATTTAGCCCATAAAATTGGACTTTGTAATACAACATGTGGTAAGATTGTCCAAAATAGATCACAAGACAAGGATGTAAACACCAGTATCAACAATGAGTAAAACCCATAAGGTATATATATATATAGTAAGCTGAAAAGCGTTGGAGATAACATACCCTTTAAAAAATACATTAAGCAAAAAACAGTTATGGCATATAGCAACCAATGACCAACAACTGGACTACACCCTCCTGGATTGGTTTGCCACTGGACGTTAAGCAACCATCAATCAATCAATCAATCCTGGCTTGGGACAGGTACATGAGAAAGTGGAAGGGTTAATAGTAAAAAACAGTTATAAGGACTTGACTCATCAAATCGGTAGTAGGGACTAAACAACTAGAGGACTCAAGAATCCTCACAATTGAAATCTAATTAAAAGTCTAAAAAATTTCAACTAATAAATAAACCAAATTATCCTAGAATAAAATGTCAACCAATACCCATATTTAGTGTAAAGATAATTTAAGCCATCTGAGAATAAAATGCTCCGCAGGGCGCAGCTTGATACGACCGCAGAGGTCGAACCCTGAACAGTTGGGGCAAGTATGGACACAACATTCAAGCTTGATACAGCTTTGGATTTGGATTGTGATTAAATATTTGACACAGCATAGGTTTCTAACACAGATTGAATGTGGTCTAAGAACTTAAAATTTTTAAATTGGACATTCACCTATTATGGTCCAATATCCAAAATCTAAATACATGGTTAGATTCAGCATATCAAAGAACCCCAAGAATTCAATTTTTGATGAAATCAAACAAAGTTTAATTTTGGACCCTTTTGACCTCAATGTGGACAAAGTTGATAACGGGGCCCAAAAATCAAAAATCTAAATACATGGTTAGATTCAGCATATCAAAGAACCCCATATATTCAATTTTTGTTGAAATCAAACAAAGTTTAATTTTGGACCCCGATTTGGACCAACTTGAAAACTGGGCCCATAATCAAAAATCTAAATACATGTTTAGATTCAGCATATCAAAGAACCCTAAGAATTCAATTTTTGTTAAAATCAAACTAAGTTTAATTTTGGACCCTTTGGACCTTAATGTAGACCAATTTGAAAACGGAACCAAAATTTAAGAATCTAAATACACAGTTAGATTCGGCATATCAAAGAACCCCAATAATTCAATTTTTGATGAAATCAAACAAAGTTTAATTTTGGACCCTTTGGACCTCAATGTGGACCAATTTAAAAACAGGGCCCAAAATCCAAAAACTAAATACACGGTTAGATTCAGCATATTAAAGAACCCCATGAAATCAAGAATAAAACCCCATTGAAATTGGTCAAGAAATAAGCAATTTATAGGAAGTATCTTCTTTTGCACAATCCTGTGCTATTAAATATTTCTTGCTATTGCGCAATACTGTACAATTGACAATTTCTTGCTATTGCGCAATATTGTGCTATTGGATATTTCTTGCTATTGCGCAATACTGTGCAATTGAAGATTTCTTGCTATTGCGCAATACTGTGCAATTGAAGATTTCTTGCTATTGTGCAATACTGTGCAATTGAAAATTTCTTGCTATTGCACAATACTTATTATATAATAATTTACACATCCTGTTTGGTGTGTATCTCCTACCATATCATTATTATTTGCTTTTAAATATAAATCAGAAATAACCAACTTAAAATGGAAAATTTTAAAAGAAACAAAAAAGGAAAAAAAGAAAAAAAAGGAAAAAAAAAATAAATCCCCCCCCCCCAAATTTTTTGAACCCCCATTATGATTCATCACCCCCAAACTCAATCCCAGCCTTCCCTTTGTGGTATGGTACCTTGCAGTACAATTTCAGAGAGATCCATACACTTGAACACAAGTTATTGTCTGGAAACTAGAAAAAAATGTGTTTTTTGGCCCCTTTTTGGCCCCAAATTCCTAAACGTTTAGGGCAATTACCCCCAAACTCAAACCCAGATTTCCCTTTGTGATATGGAACCTTGTAGTACAATTTCAGAAAGATCCATACACTTACACACAAGTTATTGTCATGAAACTAGAAAAATGCTTGTTTTTTGCCCCTTTTTTGGCCCCTAATTCCTAAAATTTGGAGGCAATTACCCCCAAAATCAATCCCAGCATTCCTTTAGTGATATGGAACCTTGTGGTACAATGTCAGAGAGATCCATACACTAACACACAAGTTATGTCTGGAAGTTACAAAAATGCTTATTTTTGGCCCCTTTTTGGCCCCTAATTCCTTTACTGTTATTACCATAACCCCCAAAATCAATCCCAACCTTCCTTTTGTGGTATTGAACCTTGTGGTAAAATTTCATAAAGATCCATTCACTTAAACTAAAGTTAGAGTGCGAAAACCAATGTGTCTTCGGACGACGCCGGACGACGCCGACGACGACGCCGGACGACGACGACGCCAACGTCATACCAATATACGACCACAAAAGTTTTTTTGCGGTCGTATAAAAATATGACCTTGTTCAATATCATGAGACGAGCTTCATGATGAAGGACCACAAGTGTTAATAACTGGATAGCTATAAGTGTTTAGTTAATCATGTGTGTACAAAGTTATTGAAGTAAAATCAATGACTTTAATTATGTTAGTACTGATATAGACAATATTCAAAGATCTAACTTCAAAATCTAAAGTAAATTAATGAAAGGTTTTCCATATTCATGGCATTGGTGGTGTGTTGGTTTATATGTATATTATAGTACCTTTAATCTGGCCAATAGGTTTATGCTTAAGACCTGTTATTGGTAAGTTTTTAGTATCGTTGGAGTGTTTCATTTCCATGGGCAACAAGTAACTGTAACCAACATGCTTTGGTTCCTTGTCAGGGGTTTGAACATAGAAATCAAACTGAAATCCCTGAAATGAAAATGGATGTAAGAAATTATACCAGAGTTTCCGCTGGCTATCGCCTTTATCACATTTTGGGTAAAAATAGTATTATGGAGAAAAAAATCATTCTTGCTGAAAATTTATTGTGAAAGAATTTTAACACTTTGTGTTTTATTTCAGGCCTTTCCAACTTTTTGAGTAGTCAAATGGCTGCACATTTCACTTGAATGAGTTGCTTTTACAACTTTTATAAAATTAATTGTTTTGAAGTGGGTACTTTACAATTGTTTAAGTAAGGGCTCCTGTTTGAAACATAGTTTTACATTTGATCTTTTTAAAATGATGAGCCAGAAGAGAAAGTTGTTTTTTAAAGAAGAAAAAAAACCAACAAAATTATGAAAAATCTTTAATTTTATTCAGAGCCCTTCAACTAGACAGAAAGTATCTGTTAAATAAATCGAAAACAAATCTAAAACTGTCATGGTTTGGGATATAAATTTAATAATTAACAGTCAGAAATCCACAAAAAAAGGGCAGTAAAAAAAGTTTTATTGCCTTTGTAATATAATTTTACAGTATCCATAAATGTAAATCAAAACCATTATTCTAATTTAGTGTTCACTTATTAAAATGTTGATTGTGAAATAGAGATACTTATATCATTGTTATACTAGATCCCTGAAGTACATGAGATGGTGACACTGCCAATTGAAAATGAGTATAATTGCATAACCAGATAACGGAAAATAAGTTGGAAAAAATTGAAAGAGGCAAAAAACAAGAATGTGACCATAGTACATGGATGCCTCACTTGCACTATCAGTTTCTATGTTCAGTGGACCATGAAATTGGGGTTTAAACTCTAATTTGGCAATTTAGAAAGATCATATCATAGGGAACTTGTGTATTAAGTTTCAAGTTGATTGGACTTTAACTTCATCAAAAACTACCTTGACCAAAGACTTTAACCTGAAGCGGGACAGACGGACAAATGAAAGAATGGATGCACAGACCGAAAAACATAATTGTTTTGGCGAAATGGTGGCCAGAAAGAAAATTGATCTAGGGGAAACCCTGATTATACAAAATGATTTATTGAACTGAAGTCTTTTGTCTATTATAAAAGAAATTCAATGTACAATACAAATGTGATTTTAGATCAATAATATCTGCATTACTTTAATCAACAAATGGAGAATGTGTCCCCATGGACACAGATGATGCCCCTGCTTGCATACAACATTATAAAGGGACATAACTCAAAACAATAAAAGTGACGCTACCCAAATTTGTACTTGATCTTAGTTTTGTTGTAATAAGTATTGTGTATAGGTTTCATGTTTGGTTGGGGCAAACTTAAGTTATAGAACGGAAACTAAAAATTTTGCAATTTTTTGATTTATAAAGGGGCATAACTCAATAATGGTTAAAGTGACACTACCCAAATTCAACTTGATCTGTGTTTTATCAGTGGAAGGCAAAATTAAACATTGCATTGTATAAAGCATTGATTGTAGTTGATTCAACTATAATCATGGACAAATGAAGATAACTCAAAATTATTTGAACAATGACATCATTGATATTTTTAGAAAAAAAAATGAAAAATTTAGCAATTTTTCCATTTCTAAAGGGGCATAACTCTAGAACAGTAAAAGTGACGCCACCAAAATTCAAACTTGATCTGTGTATTGTGGTAATAAGCATTGTGTATAAGTTTCATAACATTTGGTTGAGGCAAACTTAAGTCAGAGAACGGAAATGAAAAATTTTGCAATTTTTCCATTTATAAAGGGGCATAACTCTAGAACGGTTAAATGTGACGCCACACTTGATCTGTGTTTTGTGGTTATAAGCATTGTGTATAAGTTTGATAACATTTGGTTGAGGCAAACTTAAGTTAGAGAACGGAAACCAATTTTGGGACGTACATACGTAAAAACAGACGGACAAGGGTAAAACATAATGCCCCCTCCGCTTCGGCGAGGGCATAAAAATAGTTACTGTTAATCTAAAATATTTGCAAAGTTTTTATTATTGCAAAAATCGCAAGTAGGTTTCCAAAAAATTAAAAACTCTTTTTTTTTATATCATTGATTATTTTGCTACAATGTAACACTATTTATACACAGGATTTTCTGAAATTGTATTAACTTATGTTGCATTTTTGTCCATAATTCAACAACTGCAATAATAAATTTCTTAATTTACATTTATACATTCTGACTTAATGTGCATTAAAACATTTAAACCCGCTGCAATTGTTTGCACCTGTCCTAAGTCAGGAATCTGATGTTCAGTAGTTGTCGTTTGTTGATGTGGTCCATAAGTGTTTCTTGTTTCTCGTTTTTTTATATAGATTAGACCGTTGTTTTTCCCGTTTGAATGGTTTTACACTTGTAATTTTTCGGGCCCTTTATAGCTTGCTGTTTGGTGTTAGCCAAGGCTCCGTGTTGATGACCGTACTTTGACCTATATTGGTTAATTTTATAAATTTTGACTTGGATGGAGAGTTGTCTCATTGGCACTCATACCACATCTTCTTATATCTATGTCGGGGATGTTCAAATGTTGCCTCAATAATGTATGTCTAATATCTTAATTCTTTACGCTTTAATTGCAAATAAAACCTTGTTCAAACCCTAGATATAACATACCAAGTATTCTGGGTCTATTGTTCTGGCTGAAAATATCATGAAGTCGTTGTGACAGTATATTTCTCCATGAGAATCTTGTGCACGAGGTTTTTCTTTTTCATTTTTCAAGGTCTGAAAAAAACACACAAAAAAAAAAACACTATGAGTATGATAAAAAAATAATACATGTTTATTCTATGTACTTTAATAGCTTGTTTATTTCTTTAAGAAAAAATCTAATCATTTTGCAGTAGATATTCATGTTATAAAGTTTCCTTCTTGAAAGAAAGAAAAGTTCATAGGGGTTCAAGTGGGGGCTAAGAGGAAATGCCCCCTAAAGTCAAAAATATCCTTTTTTGAATAAAAAACCTAAAAAAATGTCTATATCACTCAGCTGTGTAAAATTATCGAGGTCACACTCTCCCCAACATCAAATCCTGAAAGGAATGGCATGCACAAGCCAATTAGGTGATATGGTGTCATGAGATGTAACTTCTGAAGCTGATTTGACACCTGTAACCTGGTTTTGTATGCACATTAATGTAGCTTGTCTTTTGTATGCACACAAATGAAGCGAGTTTTTGTTTGTATGCACTTACATGTAAATGTAGCTGTTTTTGTATGCATATACATGAAGCCGGATTTTGTACACACATACATGTAAATGTAGCCTGTTTTTGTATGCACATCAATGAAGCTTGTTTATAGTAATGATAAATCGCAATCCTGAGAACTAATCCCAGTCCACAATTCTATGAGTTAGTGGTGTGATCAATAGTTACATGTAAATAAACATGATAAAGGTAAATACTATAAACACTGGGTTAACAGCCCTAAAATAGTGAACAAATATGCCAATATACTTACAGAAACAAACACTTTTGTAAAAGTCTGTGGAGGCATAGTGTGTGGCTGGTAATCATCTTCTTCATCTTCATCTATTGTCTACAAATAAAATTGGCACACTACATATCATCTTCATATTGTAACTCCTGATGTAAATGCAAAGTCGTCAAAAATGTCTGTGCATGTTATACATACAAATAAAGTTTTTTCCTCCGGATTCAAGGACCAAACAGAATTGTTTGTAATACATAAATGCATTCAATACACACAAGACAATAGGAGAAAACAATGTATGTTACACTTTTATCATGGTAATCATTAGTCATATGAAAAGTTGACACAAATATTATCGGAAAAAATATTCTGGTTTTGAAACTCTGCAAAAGCCCAATAAATTTTTTGGCGACTAAATATAAATTTTACAACACTTGTTATTTTATATATAAGTTTAACATACATCTCTAAATCGATGATCTAAAGGAGTACATTTAATACTGTAGGTCTGTGTTCTATGACGAGGCTTCCACATATATAGTGGGTTGCTGTGTAGTCGAATGTGGATTTCTGTCTTGTCAATCAGCCAGCCATTTGTCACATACCTCTTCTGTCCTGCAAGTTATAAAAAAAATAAGATAAAAGGTTTCCAAGGCATCAAGTGCTTCCTAATGAAAAATAGTGTGGATTCAATATAATTCATAAGATACCAATTTACATGTATTTGTTTGGTATAGGTAACCCAGGAATTTAACAAGTACAAATTTCCTACAGCTTGTATGCAGACTTTGGAAAAACCACGAAATCAAATATCCACAAAAAAACAATCTTTTCTTAATCCACGAAATTTGATCTTCTCCAAACATGAAATATATAAGCAAATTGGAAAATTCTTTACAAATACATGAACTATCAAAGATTTCTTTATTTGAACTGTTCATTTTCAAATTCTATGAAATATGTATACTGTTTTATATATTCTATGTAACTATGACCTACATAAATTTCCTTCATTCCGGTGATACTGATCAGTAGTTTAGAAGGGTCAAGTATCAGGTACTGCCTCTTAATGAGACAACTATGAAAGATGTTTTTGAAAATGTATCCCTCAGTTTAGCTCTCTAAAACAAAGCTTTGTGGTTTGTAGTTGCGGATAAAAAAAAAATTGTGACAGAAAAGTGTAAATGAAGGATAGACTTTTTCTTTATGTATAAAATGCATAGGAGTGAGCGTAAAGAGTACCTTCATGCTCCATGTCCTCCTTGAACATTTATTTTTGCGCTAGGAGCTACATGTACTGCAGAAATTACATTCATAATTACCGTATTCTCCAAAGATATCAATTGTATTTTCATACTTTGCAGGTTCATCCATATATGCTGAAATATAACGAATTCAAAGTCAGCATTTTTACGATAAAAAAAAGATATTGTATAACCTTTTTCAGGGATCTCAAGGACGTGAGGTCTTGTGTAATAAGACACTCAAAATCTGATTTGGAGGCATGCGTTACATGGTAAGAACAGTTGGAAAATGAAATTCTAATACACTTGTGTATGAAAAACACATTTGATAATACAGGGAGCACTCAAATTTGTGATAAGACCAATGCATATCGAGTGTAGAACTTGTTAAAATATTGAAAATTATTAGGGTATTAACACATGCAAAAATTCCCCAGATGCAGAAGTTTAAACGGGATCAAACTCAGAAAAAGCATGTAACTTTTCCAGGTTTTGATCATATTAAAAACAAGCATTCTGAGAGTATTGCATGGCAATACATAGTCCCCTACCGGGTAAAAATTCATTTTACTGGAACAAAATGCTAACTTATTCTATAACTTGTCATGGTGTAAACAAAAAGTAAATATCATGTCAATATCTTCAAGCATGACTAAAAACAGTGTGGAAAACTGATTATTTGAGTGAAAAAAACATAAGTTATGATTAATAGTTCTCTAAAATTAGATATGATGTAATACAGTGTATATCTATTTTCAAATTATAATCAAATATAATTAATAGTTCCAAATACTTTTTCTTTCATTTGTCACAAACTAATATAGATTTGTAACTTATCTATAAAATGTCAACAACTACACAATGTAATGTATTGAAATATATACATTAATAAAAATAGATTTTTATCTAATTAAAGGATTTCTCTTCATAATTTTTTTTTATATATATAGCATTCAGAAAATTAGTTTATACTAAATAACAAACAAACCTGCCAAAAAATTCTTCAAATAATTTAACAAAGAATGTCATTTAAAAAATGAGTTATCCCCCTTTGTACAGAAATATTGTTTAACATAGTACTCTAACATTAGATATAGTCCAGAGTTATGGTCCATAACTCTGGACTAAATCATCAGACTGGAACAAAATTCGAACTTGATCTATAACTTGTCATGATAAAACTATATATCAAATATCAAATCAATATCTTCCAGAACGAAGAAAAAAAGTGTGGAAAGCTGATGTGCCGGACTGACGGATGGACAGACGGACAGATGGACAGACGGACGGAGTGCAAACCTAAAGTCCCCTTCGACTCAGGTTATCAACTACTACGTACCTTACAAAAAAATAAAATTCAAACTTCTGACATCGATTTACTAAATCTTACTGACTGCACGAGCTTTAGAATGGCGGGAAATATGACGCAAAAGTAAAGACGGCTGACTAGTGTAAAACGTTGATTTTCGTATATTGATTGACACAATTCATAAAATATGTTTATAATTTTCATTAAAATTTCAAACATGAAAATCGAAAGGCAATATCTTTGTTATAATACAACGAGTGTCAACAAATTTGTAAATTTATAAAATTATTTACAAACAAAATCTAAAATAATGCTGGGACATAAGATATTGAAGTGCATATGAAAAGTTTGTTTTTTTAATATAAACTAGGATTAGAAACATGTTGTAATAAAAAATAAACAATTGTTTCCAAGAGATTGACGGGAAATATGTCAAAATAGTAAGCACGAGTGATCTGGCTGACCAAAATGTTTAACTTGTGAGTAATGATTGACAGGTATGAATAGATGTAGAAACTCCGGCAGGGAACATGGTGTCGAAAGGAAAATGATAAATTATTCAATTTGTTTATATATTTTAGAAATACGATATGTTGGCCTAATATTAAAATTGTGTATTTCTGTTAATAACATAAAGGAACAGGACGTTAAAAGAGGGAAATGTTATAACCATCAACGAAGACTCATATAATCTATGGGATTAATGTCTCAACATTTTGATGAAAACTTCGATTGAAAACCGTCCTGGTTGTTATCAATTTGAATAATATGAAATATTTACGGTTAGCAATACATTGTTAAAAATCGTCTTTCTTTTATTTTTATGCGGTCAGTTAATAAGTTCAAATAAAAGTTGATCCCATATTACATGTATTAAATTTTCAATAGTTCATTGTAATTTTCTTCTTTGAATATATACAATACAATATTTTACATGTATCTATCCTCCATAAATACTAAAATATCTGTACAGGTAAAATTTAATTCTAATCAAACTGGTACAGATCAAGGCTTCCAAAACGGTCATATATGCCGGACATTTGTATAATGTCCGGTAAAAGTCCGGCTGGGCAAAGCATGAAACGGTCTTCTACTTTTTAGTTTTCAAGGCTTTAAGAGACGGTCATTTTAAACATAATTCGAGATCTTTTTGACCCAACGTTTTGCCTTTAACAGCCACACATTTCCGGTCATAAAAGTGACATGATCATTAAGTACTATCAAAACAACCCCTACTTTAATGGTTTATTCCCGATTGTCCCACTTTTTAAAATTTTAGAGTTCTGATTGTCCCACATGAAAAGTTCTGATTGTCCCACATTATTTTATGAAGTAAAATGTTCTTAGATAAACAATGTAACTGTTGTTTGTTTTGCTAAATAAACAAGAATTAATTTATTGCACATTTAATATTAATTTTATAGAAGTATAAAAAAAATGTTTTTTAAATCATTAGATTAATGCACTTTTGATTAAAAAAAATTTATTTCTGATTTATGAAATATATCTACAATGTTACGTTATTTATAAAACAAATTTCAATACCGTAATTTTAATTACATTTTCTCTAAAGTTTTTGAATAAATAATGCATGCAATTTAAAAAAAAAGGTATAAACTCATTTACATTCTACACTTTACACGAACTTGTTGATGGAGAGATTTTTCCAGAAGTCTTTACAATTTTACTAGGGAAGTCAGAGGACATTAATACAACATTCTCTGCACTATTGAAGACTACTAACACCCAACGTCAGATTCACCTGAACCCAACAACTTCCTTTTTTTGATAACGAAGCTGTTGTCTAGAATTCTGCCAGATCAGCCTTTCTAAGAATCAATATCAAAGGTTGTTTTTCCAATATTCCCAGTGTCTTTGCCATAAAGTGCAGTCAACAGGACTCGTCACCAACTATAAAGAAGAACCAGACTTCCATAAAAAAAAGATGTGGTATGATTGCCAATGAGACAACTCTCCAAAAAAGACTAAATGACACAGAAATTAACAACTATAGGTCACAATACGGCCTTCAACAATGAGCAAAGCCCATACAGCAGAGTCAGCTTTAAAGGTCCCATATGAAAAATGTAAAAAAAGTCAAACTAGAAAAACTAACGTGCAAAATAATGAACGAAAAACAGATGTGTTACACAGTAACAAACGACAACCACTGAACTACAGGCTCCTGACTTGGGACAGACACATACAGAGCGTGGCGGGGTTATACTTATTTGAAGGCGTCAATCCTCCCACTAACCTGGGACAGTGATGTTACAGTACAACATAAGAATAAACTAAAAAAAATAAGTTGAAAAAGGCTTATCTCATCAGATGGGTACAGACAGAAATACATTTAACAAATCACAGAGTGGACATGGACGTGGACGGCTACTTATACATCCCCACAACAAAGACACTAAGTACAGATCTTAGAGTATTCGCAGTTACTGACAGCTAGTTGAAAGCCAATAAAAACTAATTAAAAAAATCATGCATCTAAGACTAAAATTTTATGATTTCGTATTATATTCCATGTTTGATGATACTTCAATTGTACCTACTACATGTATGTGCAAAATATAATATGTTAGTATTATTATTTGTTCATGTTTTTTTTTCATATTTTATAAGTTACAGTGATTAGTAACTTGTAATTAACTGACACAGACTATAAAAACAAATTAATCACTATCAAAACAATTCCCAATTGTCCCACATTTAAACTTCCCAATTGTCCCACACACATATTCCCGATTGTCCCACAAAATTTCATTACTTTTTTACCTGTAATTTCAAAAAGTGGGACAATCGGGAAGACACCACTTTAATACCTTCTCATTTTAATCAAGGCTAATTAGTTGTCGAACAGCTGAAATTTACCTGTTCAGGTGACATGTAAACTATTTTGAACCGGGCATTGATCGGTCTATTCAAAGTTATTTTCTTACATTTCAGCGGTTTGTATCTAATTAATTTAGTCAAAAAGATTTAAATTATCAGAAATACGTTTACAAATATGATTTGATCAAAAAATTAAAAAGGTGAAAATGAAAAATCGTCATAACCATGTTGTTTGAACTAGAGACATGTCTCTGTTAGAACTAGTACATGTGTGCGCATGTGCGCAGGTGTGAAATTTAATTATGTATCGTAATTTCTTCAAAAAATGCTTAAATTGTCATTGATACCTTTATCTCACGTTTATTTCGAATATTTTCTTCAAGAAATAAAGTAGAAAGAGCTACTTCCACTCATTCACGCTTTGCAAACGTACACGGAATTTACGTATCCGTCTCTGGTCCATGTTTTACCATTGTCAAGATAACATCCGATATATTAGATTAAAAACGAAAGTAAAGAATTTGACAACGTTATTTTGCACAAATAAAGAGTCTAAGGCAGATATAAGTACGCTGATGTTGCACACTTCGAATGATGCACTGCCAATTTAACAGTTTACATCAGAACTTCGAATTTGAATCAAAGAAAGTTTAATATCGTTTTTTTTTAATGTCAATATCATTGGGATGGCCAACTCGGCAACTGATTACCATAATTGCCTTTTGTTTGTTTAGTCTTAAGGGATTAAAATCGGGATAATATATAAAATGTCCGGCTCGCTAAAAATAATTTTGGAAGCCCTGGTACAGATTGATTTACGACCTTCCACTGCTATTGCACAGGTAATATCACAGCAGGTGTTAATTACACTCGGACAACTGTCCGACCAGTCCAACATCTAGACGGATTAAGGCATACATAGTAATAAGACTCTACCTGTACTGTAAATCCTGAAAACGCTTTGGACACAAAAAAATATACAAAGTTTTATTTTTCATTTTTTTTTCTTTAACATTTGTCATGTTTTTTTGTATTAAGTGTGCTAAATGTAATTACATGCATATTTATTTTAAATTTAAGAACATTACATTATGCACAACACAGCATAAACATAAAGTAAATATATAAGATAAGTACCTCTTGGAGAAAAAACTCTTTGTCTTATATTAGTTTCCCATTTACTGACATCTACAGTTGTCTCACAGTCCTCACTATCAGATTCTACAATTCTTGCAATAAAGTAACGGTATTTATAATCGTGCATCCCATTTGTCAATCTAACTTTTCTTTTCCATATATTCCTGCAATTGCACACAAGGTACATACATAAAAATGCATAAATCAAATAAATAAATATAAAAGAACAAGCCTTTTTCAGATAAATGCTGAAACCAGCAAATTTTACTGCCTTGAACATATTTGTGTATACTGATATTACTGTACCCTAGATAAAGCCTATGAGTATAGGCATCACTCGACTAACGAAAGTTACATTTGATATCACCTATTTGGCAGTGTGGTCTAGATTGCTGACACAGTGCAGGAACAGTTACCACGAATTTTCAAAACCAGAGATTCAAATCCATCTGAGTGAAGGACAAACATAAATTTGCAACTGCAAATTTGCGGATCTAACATTGTTTGGATAAATTTCAGACAAAGTATATACATGATAAATATTGAACTGATAATATCATACATCATGTACATGTATATTGCAATTGAAAATAAAAAAATAATGTCAAAATCATTTGAAAATACATGTATCTATAATACTGAAATTTTCAAATTACTACAATAAGTGAATCCTGCAGCTGACTGCCAATACATTTAGTATCAATGATTAAGAATGAGTTTTCATTTTTTCTCACATATCCATATAGAGAGTGGAAATGGCTGTACAGGAAGTGAATCCCTGTGTGCAACTCCACACTCATAATAGTGGGAAATCACTAAAAAACTGGAGGAGAAGCACTCCCAGCCATCATGAGAGTCTGTATTGGGGTCCTTCCCTTCTTTATTCTTTAACTTTTCAGACATTTTTTCTCTATTCTTTATTTAGTTTGACAACTTTTTTTCTCTATTTTTTTTGTTATTTTGCCCTTAATTCTGCATTTTTTTACCATTATTCACTTTTCTGTAAACCATATTCAGACCCTCATACATTACATGTACATGTACATCTCTTTTTTGTCATACTTACATTCCATTAGGGCTACTTTTATCGTTGCTATCAGTTTTCCTGGAAGTTCTAGGACTTGAAACTCTGGTTAATTTTACAGCACGATGTGGATTCCAGTTTCCCAGCATGTCACAATCTCCAATGATACATACTGTTTCTCCTGGGTGTGTGTCGGCTCGCACACAAAATGTTACCTCAAAAGTCACTGACATCTGCATGTTGACTATGGTAGTTTATTTCAAATAAAAGCAGGTAGGTTTACATGTATGTTTCTACAATTTTATCCATTCCTAAAATGAGCATCTGTTATTTAAATCCATACCAAAACAGAGATGATTGCATATTGTACATGTTGTACCTAAAATGATAAAACACTAATCTTCATGTTGTGACTACATGTATTAATTTGTTCTATAAATTCTCATTTCAAATTTTGGGTTAAACTAGGTGAAACTGTTCTAGTAGACTAAAAGTTATATATGTCTCCCCTTCATCTCATGGACTAAATCAAGTAAAAAAATACAGGCAAAACAAACACATTTATATGTGATTGTGACATGTTTTTTTTTTATAATATTTATCTTTTAAAAATATATCCATGTTTTCTTCATGTTCTTGTTTACATGATTATTTGTATCCTAACAAACAGTTACACGAATAAATATATATATATTCCTCAATTACAGTTACTGTAAATTCAGAAATTATTGAGGTTCTTATTAATGTGAATAATGCAACTCCTTGAGCAAAAATGTTGAGAATTGCAATAATTAAACTGACGTTTTTGTTCTTTCCTTTTATAAAAAAAGATTTCCTCATTTCAAACAAATAGAAAAATACAAAAAATATTCATTCATTGCAAAGAAACCTTAATTTTTTGGGAATTTGAAGACTCCATGGCCACTTACCTGCACAAGTTGTAATTACTGTTTTTTTTTTACACTTAATTTTTATAAGATACTATACCTTGAAAGCCAGCATATGTTTACCTGTATTTTGTTAAACAAAGGATGTAGGCATTAAAGGAATGAACCGGTTTATACTGGCTATTCCAACATTCTGATTATTATCATGTTTATAGGTAAATTATTAAGAAATTCATGTAATGGTTGGAGTTCCCAGAATTATTGTGTACATGTACATATAATGGAATTATGTTGGATTATGTAACCATGGTAACTGTTGTAACAACACATTACGAATTAACCAAGGTTAATCCAGGTAAAATTTGTGGAAATTGAAGAGACAGATACTTTATACATTTGCGTCCCCAAAAGGGGAGTACTGATTGTAATTCAATAATAAAAGTAAAGTGTGTATGATCATGATGATGTGTCTAAGGTTAATAACATGTGTGTTTGACAAATTGTGCATTTAGTTATCATGATTATTGTGACAATTACATTAAACTTAACAAAAGAAAAAAAATACAACTAGTTGAACATATAGCTTAATATCAATGATGAGTCAATTTTAGAAAAGTTCATACCTGCCAACCCTCCCACTCAAATGAAGAAATTTTGGAAATCTCCAGCTTGCCGGTCCCCTCCCGAGCGGGAGTATCGAATCTCCTGCTTTTGGATATTTTACCTTGAATTGACCATTCAACATTAATAACGTTTTTGTGTCACTGATGAGGGTATTTTTTACCTGTAAATCACAGTCCATGTAAAAATTAAATGGCTTCACATGACAGCTTGGGTGTCAAACATAATACTAATTAACGATCATTACCGACTTTTACCTCTAGCTTTGTATATTTGAAAACACTTCAAAGAAATTTCGGGTTACTTCCCCTGTTTAATCCTGTTTTAAGTTACCCTACTTAAAATAATGTGAATTGGTTAAAGAATATAAATTAAATACAAATTGAACAAAGAATCATAAAAGGATGGTAATTTAATGATTTTGAAGACCTTATGACAAAAATATAATTATATTTTGAAAATCATTTATTGCGAACCCAATGAAAGTTTTCCACAGTGCCATCTCTATCTGGTCAAGGTATTTAAACTTTTGTAAGGTCACCTGTCCTATTGAATAAATACAATAGCTATTGTTCTCTGTGCAGTTTATTCTCTGGGACCTTCTAAGAGAAATCTATCACTCATTGATTAATTTACCTGAGTAAAAAAAATCTTCTAAATAGACGAAAATACATGTTTTATACTCAAAACTGCATGTGATGTTGTATTTATTCAATATTAATAAGATATTTTCAATTTGTTGAATGTAAACAGTGATTCAAACATTAATAAAAGTTGATTTCTGACAAAACTATAGAATTTGTTTTTTTTGTGTGTTTGACAAATAAAAACTTGAAAATTATGATGTTCAAATTAAGACCTACTTAAATGTATTCTATAACTAAACAAAAACAAAAAAAATGCAAATTTCAATTGGAACATTACTTAAACTTTTGTTAGAAATCAAATTTTTATGATTAAATCAGTGTTTATATTGAAAAGATTGATAATATTATCAATTTTGAATAAATACATCATCACAGGCAGTTAATGAGTATAAAAAAAGTATTTTTGTTTATATATAAGAACATTTTTTCATGACTCAGGTAAATTAATCAATGAGTGATAGATTTCTCTTAGAAGAAATTTAAAGGTCCCAGTGAATAAACTACACAGATAACAATAGCTATTGTATTCATTTGATGGGACAAGAGAACTTACAAAAGTTTAAATACCTCGACCAGATAGAGATGGCACTGTGGAAAACTTTCATTGGGTTCTCAATAATAGATCTATACTTCTATTCAATGTTTAAATTGAAATTTATAAGAGATGTATTTCACTATTGTGATTAAAATGTGACTGTACATACATGTATTGCACCGTTCTTTACATTAAAGATGATCACTTGAAACAGACATATCTTTGAGGTATGCTGGCCTGAAGGGACATAATTGTCATAGATATTGAAAATTATAATAACAAACCAACACACCTTTATAGGATATAACCATGATTGAAGAAATAAATTATATCTATTTACTCTTATTTGTGTTTTGTAAATGAATAAATAAACAAGTCATATTTTTAACTTGAAAATGTCGTTCGTGCAAAATCTCCCCCTCAGCTGTCTTAGCTGAGGGGGAGATCTCCCTCTCTGAAAGTTTCAGAGGTTGGCAGGTATGAAAGTTAGTTCCCTGAAATTTTGGGGTTTTATTAGTCATGTTAGTAGGCCTGTATTTGACTAAGAGGGTGCAAACGTGTTAATAGGTTGGGAACAACCCCTCAAACGAGGGATAACCCCTCAATGTAATGACTATCCCTTTTATGAGGGGTACATTTCAAGTGATACAAAATATTTTTTGTAAAAACCTCTTTTTAGTACAAATGAGCAAATATTTATACTATTTGAAGAAACTTTTCCCAAAGAACTATACATCTATCTGGTATTATATGGTCAAAACATGTCCAAGAATTTTGTAATATTCCTGGACTTATAAGGGGAAGAAGTCCCCTCTTACAGTTGAAAAATAAATAAAAAAAAAAAAAAGAAAAAATCAGGAAAATTTCCTGAAATTTTCATTGCACTAATGAACTCAAAATCGTTAACTTTTTTTCTGTAACTTTTTTTAATTCCCGCATTTGCGCAGAAATCTTCTTCCTTCTTCCGGTCTCCTTTGTCATGAGACTTTGAAATATATATTTATCAGTCCAGTAAATTATAGGAAGGAACACAATAACAATTTTATTTGTAATTATTCTTTGATATGAAAAAACGTTACCTGATTATAGTGTTTCTTTGTTTACATTGAATATGACGTCATAACTAAAATAACGTCACAACTAAAATCCCTAACAACAGAACCAAAATCGGAGAGTTACGGTATTGCTGTTTCTTTTTTTAACAGATTAAGAACTTAAAATATGTTTGAATTAAATAGAAAAAAAATTATATAGACTTCGTCCTCTTTCACAGGTAATGCCTGCCTCATATTATCTTCCTTATTATTAGAAATAAGTGGAACCCTCTTTTAGAAAAGTTGTTCCAAATATAATAAATTTTCCCTTTTTAAGTTAAAAAATCTTAGTTTTTCTTTTTTCTTTTTTACAATGGTAAAACAACCCCTTGTCTCAGGGACAGTCCCTCATTTACGGGATATCCCTCATTTGGGGGGTTATTCCCAACTGGGGGGGGGGGGGGGGGGGGGGGGGGGTTCCGTGGGTTGGACCCCCCCTTTTTTTTACGATCAATGCATTTGAATGGGGACATATAGTTGGAACCCCCCCCCCCCCTTTATCCTGGGTTAGGAACCCCCTTTTATAAATAGCTGGATCCGCCCCTGGGGAGCGAACGCACCAGTTACTCTTTATCCTAAACCTTACCGTAACCTAAAAATATAGGGACCTCTTAAGTAAAGGAAGGCCCAAAAGAGAATTTCTCCAATATTGGTTAATATTTACTTGAAATATATGACGAAATAATCTTCCCTTATGATTTTGGCCCGTAGCCATTTGCATGTCGATAACTGGTTCCAGCAAAATCATTTACTGTTATGTTACGAGGAACACGATCTTGCTGTCGACGAGGAACCAGAAGTAGAAACAAGAACGGTAACTCAAAAATATAAAGAAGACATTTCGGCCACAAATCAAGTTCGGCCTTCATATCCAAAACTCCAAAAATAAATAATAGACAGTAGTTATCCAGTGACCTAAAGGCCGTAAATGATTTTTTTGCCTAAAATCGTCAATAAATGTCTCATCGTTACGCTCGGCAGCCTTGGCTCTGTTGTACATTTTCAGAGACATGTGTATGCTAGTCAAATGCGTTTTGTTAAAATATACCTTTTCACTCATTTGGTCTTTTGGAAAATGTTGTTTGTGCTGTATTTAGATCCCTCTACCAAGACATTTGTTTTTGCATGCACACGGATAAAAATTGCGGTTTTTATCCAACGCAATCATAGGTTTGAACGTTGTTTTCAAGTTTAGATTTGTTTATATTTTTTCGTTTGGACTTGTATTATATTTGCCTTCGGGTTTATATGATCCGTTGATCCTTTTTGGACTCTTTCAAAATTCAAGAGTCTATCCTAAATTGAGGTAAATTATATGGCCTTCCAAATACCGTTTCGATTCCTAACTTCACTGAAAAGATATTAATTGTCGAAATCCGGATATGGTGTACAAATTTTTGCACCTTATGTTGGTATACCATCTTTTCCGCAAGTTTATTGTTTTCTGTTTGGTAATAAATTAATAATAGATCTATTTTGTTACATCTTGTGATCCGTTTATTTGGCAATCGCCAATCGCAGTCTGCAGGGTTTAAGAACATCAGTTGTAGGAGTAGGTTTGAACGTTGTTTTCAATTTAGACTTGTTTAATTATAATTATATATATAATTATGTCCCAGATATTTACCATTTCGGATAATTACGTCCCATTTCCTCGGACCCCAGATCTGCCCCTGTTGTCAACAAACGTACTAGCTGCGGAACCTTCAAACGGACCGCCATGACCTCAAGACTAAACTGAACAGTGTGCTTAATTTAAAAGCTTAATCTATGTAAAACAGTACAAATTCAGTTTGTTAATACAAACTGTTCTGGTATGATGGGGAAACAACGACAAGGGATGTGCGTCTTAATATCAAATGCAAATGATGATAAGTCAAAGAGATATCCCGGATGTACTTTATGGGTAATACCACCATTGTTTCCCCTATAAGTCTTTATTAAATTGGCATTAAAAAAATGCATAATTTATCTTTATTTCAAATAAAGAAAATAAACATCACCGGAAATAAACCAAGCAAGTTTACATCCCCCTTTTCCCTGTTTACAAGCTTTAGTAACAATGCATGCATGTCACCTCTAGTTTCAACTTGAAATATTTTATTGGAACACCAAATAAAAAAAAAAAAACCCCGAATAGTGCTTTCAAACACCCATGGTTATGACCCACATTTTTTTTTCTGCAATGAAATGCAGGGTTAATTTCCTACAACTGTCAAATTCAAGGGAATATTTTTTTCGACCCTTCTTAACCTGAAACTGGATGTGATATCCTGTATTTTGGTGGTACTTCATATTTAAACGTAAAAAATACCAGTATATATATGTTCCGGACCATATGAATATTTGGACCATATGCGTATACCCAAATGGTCCGATTATACGCGTATGGTCGGACCATATGAGTATTATACTCGTTTTGTTATTAACGGGCCGGACCATATGAATATTTAGGTAAAATTATCGAAATATTCTTTATTAAGCTAAGGACAACCCATGCTTTGCAAATTTTAGGGGGGGGGGGGGGGGGGCGCACGTCCGCCACGCCCCCGCCTAAATCCGCCCCTGTGGTTGGACCATATGAGTATATACACAGATGGTCATGACTATACGCGTATGGTCCAAATACTCATATGATCCGAAAAATATGGAACATCTGTTTAACCTATCGCAACTTTCGCTGTTTAAAACTTCATATATGATCATTATATTTTATTTTGTATACTCATAAAATAATTTTGATAAGAATCAGTTAAAATTTACCTTTTTCGGGTCTTACACATATAACCTCGCCTACTAAAACTTTCTAGAAAAAGTGTCATCTAATTTTAGCTGTCCAACAATATTATTCTTACTTAAGCAACCTCTTTGAAATTTGAGATGTCAGCTAGTAGTGTATTAAAAATATTTTTTTGTATAACCCAACGTTATAGCTGTACAATGGAGCCTATGTGAATACAATCCAAAAATACATATCAATAACCGAATTTGCGAAAAAAATGAAAAAAAATAAATTTGCATCTTATATATAATTATATCAGTCGGGGAGGAAGTAAAAAATCAAATATACTCTGACATCGTTAGGTTGATTCTCTAGGCACTTTATATACGATTTGCGCAACGGTACTTATATAAGATGGTAATATACGAAGATCATGTTATAAAATCATGTTGACAAATATTTCGGCTATTCAAATAGCCTTCGTCAGTGTCAATAATTTTAACAATACTAGTTGTTTATGTAAAATAGCTCAGTAATACAGGTTAAGTATGGACTATCGATTTAATCCAAAATCTTAAACCTCATCAAACAAAACAAAACTCAATACTCTAAAAACGTGACTGCGTATCTATACATCCCAAATTGTCAAAATGCAGCTGTTTGTATAAATATATATACATTGTATAATAATAGAAGAGCCCCTCTATCAACCTGCTAGTACTTCCTGTTGATGCCGTTAGGATGAAATACATTTAGTTCCTTTATCCGGAGTCTTTCCCGAACCTGTCGATGGGCATCACTCAATACGATTTACTACCAAATACGGCATGTTTCAAAAATTAGTTTAACATTAATATTTATTCTTTCATTTAAAAACATTTCCAGGGGGGTTGTTCTTGTGGGTGAATTAAACTCGTCTCCTTAACTTAGCGTCTTTTCAGATTTCGCCGCTGCACCATTTGCCTCAACTCACGAGAGAGTTGATACACCAAGACATCGTATCGGTCAATCAATTCGTGATAGTGACTGTAAAAGTTATGTAGTGTCGATTTCAGTCGTTCTTCCTCATAACTCTGTTTAGGATTTTTTTTATGTAAGAAATACACCCCTGTTAATGAAGTACTTATATTGTGAGCATGCACGATCGTAACGTATTAACTTAGATGTACTCGCCAAACGATAGAACAAAGGATATGTTAATGAAGTACTTATATTGTGAGCATGTACGATCGTAACGTATTAACTTAGATGTACACGCCAAACGATAGAACAAAGGACATGTTAATGAAGTACTTATATTATGAGCATGCACGATCGTAACGTATTAACTTAGATGTACACGCCAAACGATAGAACAAAGGATATGTTAATGAAGTACTTATATTGTGAGCATGTACGATCGTAACGTATTAACTTAGATGTACACGCCAAACGATAGAAGAAAGGATATGTTAATGAAGTACTTATATTGTGAGCATGCACGATCGTAACGTACGTATTAACTTAGATGTACACGCCAAAGGATAGAACAAAGGATATGTTAATGAAGTACTTATATTGTGAGCATGCACGATCGTAACGTATTAAATTAGATGTACACGCCAATCGATAGAACAAAGGATATGTTAATGAAGTACTTATATTTTGAGCATGCACGATCGTAACGTATTAAATAAGATGTACACGCCAAACGATAGAACAAAGGATATGTTAATGAAGTACTTATATTGTGAGCATGCACGATCGTAACGTATTAACTTAGATGTACACGCCAAACGATAGAAGAAAGGATATGTTAATGAAGTACTTATATTGTGAGCATGCACGATCGTAACGTATTAACTTAGATGTACACGCCAAACGATAGAACAAAGGATATGTTAATGAAGTACTTATATTGTGAGCATGTACGATCGTAACGTATTAACTTAGATGTACACGCCAAACGATAGAACAAAGGATATGCGGATGAAGTACTTATATTGTGAGCATGTACTTTAACGTATTAACTTAGATGTACACGCCAAACGATAGAACAAAGGATATGTTAATGAAGTACTTATATTGTGAGCATGCACGATCGTAACGTATTAAATAAGATGTACACGCCAAACGATAGAACAAAGGATATTTTAATGAAGTACTTATATTGTGAGCATGCCCGATCGTAACGTATTAACTTAGATGTACACGCCAAACGATAGAACAAAGGATATGTTAATGAAGTACTTATATTGTGAGCATGCACGATCGTAACGTATTAACTTAGATGTACACGCCAAACGATAGAACAAAGGATATGTTAATGAAGTACTTATATTGTGAGCATGCACGATCGTAACGTATTAAATAAGATGTACACGCCAAACGATAGAACAAAGGATATTTTAATGAAGTACTTATATTGTGAGCATGCCCGATCGTAACGTATTAACTTAGATGTACACGCCAAACGATAGAACAAAGGATATGTTAATGAAGTACTTATATTGTGAGCATGCACGATCGTAACGTATTAACTTAGATGTACACGCCAAACGATAGAACAAAGGATATGTTAATGAAGTACTTATATTTTGAGCATGCACGATCGTAACGTATTAACTTAAATGTACACGCCAAACGATAGAACAAAAGATATGTTACTGCTAAGAACGGAAAATTTATAATCATCACGTTTGTCAGAATTTCTAGTCGTCCATTTACGACAATATCGAGGAGAAGATCAACATCTGAAGCAGATCTTTTAATAGAGGTCTTAGGACGATGGAAATATGTTTTAGAATGGTGTGAGTGGGAATTGGATGACAACAATGCCGACATGTTTGCCAACAGATCTTTATTAAACGAGGACCTTTATCAGAAGGTCTTCTAATCACCAACCTTCTGTTGTTTGAATCATTTTCTATTTTAGTTTCAGAGGAAAAACAAAACCTTCCTAAGCTAAATTTGCCTGCAGTCATTTTCTTTTGTTATAATTTAAAAGTATTACAGTAACCTAATCATGCATAGAAAACAGGTTAGCAGTACGGGCTTTTTTAGCCTCTTGTTTGATA